CTTTTTTATTATAACTATTGATATGATTTTCAATTTTTGATTATTGATTAACATGTACTAATCAACTTTATTTTTAACTGATAATCTAAAACATCAAATTATTAAGGTAGATTTTTTAAATAAGAAATTGACAAATATTTAATGAGCAGTATAAATATCTTTTTAGGTACTTTATTTTTTTTTATTTTTGTATATTTTTTTATTATTTTGTTTTACTTATTTTATTAATATAAAATAAAAATAAATAATTATTTTCCAAGTTTATTGATCAAAATAAAATAAGAAAAAATCAAATTAAGATTAAATAAAATATAAATTTTACCATAATAAAATGTATATTTTTAATTTGGATGTTACAATTCAATTTAAAAAAATACTTTAAATTTAGAAAAAAAATGTATAAAAAGGAGGTTGAACAAGTAATGAGAAAATTAAAATAAATATTAAAATATAAAAAAGCATCATATCTGACAACCCAAGCTCAACTAATATAATGAATTGCCCAAAAATAATTAAAACCATTTTAAAAAAATTATTACAAAATAAACCAAAATTGATTTTACTTTTAAATGTTTTTTTAAATTAAAGCTTGAGATTTTAGAGAAAGATATCCTTTTGTTGTTAATACATAATAGGCATTTCGCCTTTAAGTTGACTTTATCATCTGTATCATCTATAAGCTTGAAATATTTTTTATATGGTAGAAATGGAAATTCGGTTTCTTCTTCTATGATCTCTAAATCCATAATATCTAAAACTATTTTTTATTATATATCTATAAAATGAATATTAATATGACTTACAAGATTTTTCAAAAAATTTTCAATATATAAAAAGGAAAAACTGATGTTTAATGTTTAAAATGATTAGATGAAAAATCAATATAAAACTCGGCTCAACATTTAATAATGAATAAATTTAAATAAAATAAAATTTTATTTTCATTAAATTTTAATTAACAAATATTATTAATATTTAAAAAATAATATAATTTATATATTAAATTTAAAGGATCGGTGGAGCGGCGCTCTTCCGCTCCAGCCTTAAAAGGAGCTACTCCCGCTCCTCATTTTTAAAAAGGAGGGGTGCTCCAGCTGTTTTTGAGAAAATGTAGCGCTCCTTAACAACTCTGCTTGGAGGTATGTAAAATAAATTGGTTCGAGCCCGGTCTTATCCGAAATTTTTAGTTGAAAATTATAATGAATTCACGCATTTTTATAAAAGATAAATAAATAAATCCCTAATTGATTTGTCTTAATTTCCGCAAAAGTTCGATTCTTTTTATTTGAATTAACTAGGAGAAAAAAAAACTTTCTAATTTTTTTTAAAAATTTATTCTATATTTTTTTCATACTTTAGGCCATATCCCGGCTTCGGACTGTTTTGCACTTTTATTATTGTTGTTTTAATACATCTATTTGCGCGATTTTAAAAAAATGGCATCAAGATTTTATTAATCTAAGCCATGAAATTTGAAAAAGGTTTGGTTCTATTCTGGCTAAATCTCGAACCCTGGATATTTATTTTTTTGGCCAAAATCGTGAGGTTTTTAAACACTAACTTCTACTATCAGTAATTTATTCTGCGTAAGAACTTTTTGAGCAATCATATAAATCTTCCTTTTGCGAACTGGAAAATGATTATCATTTCTTATGACGTATCACGCCTGAAAAATTACAAGTTTCGTTTATAAACTGGTCTCCCATAATAATTGGGCTCATGATTACTCTATTTTATCGTTCGATAAAATTTTAGATATGAAACTTTTAAACGAAATTATAGCCTATTTTATTTATTTGTATTTAAAAATAACAAAATTTTAAAAATTATATTCGGGCCATAAATTTATTAAAATTTTAAATATCCATTGGGTTCAAAATTATAGAAAACCCGCACTGTCCTAAATAATTTTGATTTTTTTTAAAAAAAAAACGTGCAAACGAAATATTAATAAAATTTTATATGAATAAAGATATCCTAAATTAAAACCAATTTTAAGGTTAATTCTTAAGATAATACTTTTTTTTATGAAAAAATGGGTTTTTTTTACTTTTAAATTTTATCTTATTTTTATTTTTTTTATTCGTTCTTCCCCTTAGAGATCTGTCGATCTCCTGAGCATCCACCACTTACTTGGATAACCCTTTACCTTTTTTTGAAAATTATTAGTTTAGTTTCTTTAATCATCTATTTTTAACCATTCTTAATTTTTTTTTTAGTCATTGCTTTTTTAGAAAGATTTAATTTTATATATATCCAGGTTTGTTATAATTTTACAATATGTTTTTTTATATACTTATTTTTCTTATTTTTTATCCGAAATAGTTAAATATATCATTACAAACCATTTTTTGAAATCGGTTTTAAAGCGTTTGAATAGTTATCTAGCTCTTTTAGTAAAAATTTTTTTATCTAATTTAACTATAATTTATCATTTTATTAAAAATAAAAGTAATTTATATTAACAATATCAGATCAAGTATGAATAATATAATAAATAATCAAATTTTTAATTTAAAAGTAAAATGCTTGACAACTTTTAATTTTCATAGAATATTGCAAAATATCCAACTAAAGTAACTAACTGCTCTTGTTTATATTAAATAATATATTCATTAAAATTTAGTAAAAAAAATTATATGAAACTATCCAGGTCTATTATAAATTTATATGAATATAAAATTAAATTACGGTATTATCAACTATTACTAACTTTAAAAATATGTTTTAAAAATGATTAAGATAATTTAAATTTATAACAGATGTTATTCGAATTTAATACCTCCAAAAATTTGCTGACCTTTAAATTATAAATACAAATATATTTTAATAAAATAGAGGGCGGTATATATACTTGAGTACATAATCCTTTTAAAAAAGGTATTTTTATTAAATTACAATTATTTTGAATTTCCATCAATTATTATTAAGTTTTATACAAAAGTAGTGCTAATCCACAGTTTGAAATTATCACAAATTTTTTAAAATAATAATTAACTACTAATACCCACAAGAAGGTAACGTAAACTGTAAGTATATAATAACTGAAAATGAACGGTCTTGATATCACTTATCGGTCGATCCGATTCCGATCTTAAATTGAATTTTTGAAAAGTGATGTTTATTTTATAAATCATCCTGCTAAATTTTCTCATTTCAATTCGAATTGAATGAGAATTATAAATTAAAAAAAATAGATAAATATTAAAATTATTTATCATAATAACAATTATTTCAATGATTATATTTCGATTATATCATTATTCACATTTCCTTTTTATCTATGAATCAAAAGAAGCATACAGTGTTGTGATGATTTAATGAAACATATTGACGATTAAATCCAAACCCATTCATATAAAATTATAATATTTGCAAAAATTATTAAAATAACAAAAGGAATAATAAAAGAAATTTTAATAATGCTTTGTCTATATTTTAATTATTTTTGCAAAAGGTACCCTGAAAAAATTGGCATAATTATATGGAGGGCGGGCCTCCATGTAATTCACGTTCGCTCACTTTGGGCAGATCTATTACAAATAAAACTATATTAATAATTGATCAGAAATATTGCTGTTACTTAAATTGTAAAAAAAGAGAAGAGGCAGCTTAACCATGAAGGGAATTCCCCCCGCCATCGCAAATTTCCCTATTTTCTTAAATATCATTTTAAGCTTAAAAAATTCCCGCCTACGCATCCCCACCACTTTCTCTTCAAAAAATTTATTTAATTATAACTTGAAAGAAGAATTCGAAAGGAAAATAAGTAATTTGATATATTTTAAAAAGTATTAATTCAATTTTTATTTAAAATAAGGTGAAACCCAAAGTTATTTTTTTTAAAATTGAATATAGCCAAAGGTCGACAGAAAGTAGACCTAATGACTCAGTAAAATTTATGGCGGAAAACCCCACCTATTCGCTCCCACCTCCTCGCTAAATCCTGGTTGCACCTATGGAGGTGACAGTATAAATTGATGCATATAAAATAAAATAAATTTATAGGAGAGAACCTACCATTTCAAAATTAAATATATTTAGTAGGTATGAGGTGATTTGATCAATGACATCAGTACTAATACTAACCTAGAATTACGATTCATTTATTAAAGTTTACATACATCAAGGTCCACCATTGAAAAATTTAGACAAATGCTTTTCAATATCGTCTTTATTATGGCAGACTAACTTATTTACACTTTTGGAGGATTTGACTATCTAGTTTAATTCTAATGCCAACATTAAACTTGATTTATTTTACAGATTTTATTTCTAGCTAAATTAGACAAATAATATTTAGTAATTTCAGTTATCGAATAGGACAATTAAAAGGGAACATTATGCTTAAAAATGACTATATTTTATTATTTATGAATAAAATTCCTTAATTTTTTCAATTAAAAAATTTATAAATATTTTACAGTTTCAATAAAACATTTTTAAAAATTATAATTTATAATGTGAATATTGTGCATTTTCTAATAATCATTTCATACCCTACTTTAAAGAAGGAATACAAATATATCTCTCCTAATAAAAAAAAATTATTTGAAATTTCAGGTTTTGAGCATTAAACACCTCAAATTAGAGTCCTCCAATCTGAAGTTGAATATGAATATATTATTGTGGAAATTAATTTTATCCATTTATTGAATTTAAACTGATAACTAAATTGAATATTTTTTTTACTTTTGTTTTTAATATGACTTAAATTTTATCAATTTTATGATTTACATCAGTAAATTTTATGTGACAATACCATATAATTTTTTACAAGAATTATCAAGAAAATCCCTCAGGAACTTTGAAAACCCCATACGAGATTTTTTAAAAAATAAAATTGGGCAGACCGACCTCTTTCTCTTCAGATTTACTCTTTAAATAATTGTTGTCGGGGTTTGTCTATTTATATAGGAGAAAAGTGATTAAAATGATAGTGATAGTTAAATAAATTGTTTATATTATAATTTACTATATATATATATGATTTCTCTTAGAGCACTAAAGATTCATTCCATGCAAAGTTTAACGCTCACACAATGAACACTATAGTTCAAGATTTCCAGTGGGGTCATCTTCAAATCGATGCAATATCTTTGTATCTTCTTATTTTAGCCCAAATGACGGCTTCAGGTATTGTTAACTATTAGAGCTTTCTCAAATATGATTAATAAAATGCCTTGCCCATTCAATTTTTATGGGATTTATTAAAATTAAATATATAAATATTAAGTGGGATATAGATAGAGCTAGGAAAAAGACAAATAATGCAGTTAGATTTTTAATTTTTAAAATTATTTTTTTTGTTTTAAATTGTTAATTTTGGTTGTAAAATTTTCATGTTCAAAAAATTCAAGTTTTTTTGAAAATTCAAAACAAAAACTCAAATTCTTTTTTGTTTGCTAGCCCTATTCGTCATAATACTGTATACAGAGTTGAGACCGTGAAATTTTTAATATAATACATACTCATATCTTTATATAAGACACTTTCTTTTTTTCTGTGGATTCTTGCATTCTCTTTGTTGTTTTTCTTTCCTTTTTAACTATGTTATAACTTATTATTTTATATTTTGGCATGCCAAACTTAACTGTTGTTTGTAAATTAGACAATTTAATTTTATGATTACTTGTCAATATGTATTAATCATTTTATTAAAACAATCATCATATTTTACTGTATAGAATAAAATATATTTATTTATTTCACTATCCAACATTTTGAATTGCCTCTTTGGATACAATAATATGGTATAAAGATTATAATATTTGGGTAATATCGATTTGTTGATTGTATTTGTTTTAAAAAAAATTTTTGTTAATGTCTCTTTGTTTTCAATTATAATAATATAATATAAGAGGAATACTTTATTATAGTCGTCGAAATATTATGTCTTTTATCATTTGAAAAATTTGAAAATTTGGGATAGTTCTTCTGGAAAGGTTTATTTGGTGGCTTGTGTATAAGGATGATATCAATTTTTCTTTCATAAAAAGTATCGTAACAAGCTACACTTATTAAGTAAATATTCAAGTATTATACCTTATATATTTTGGGATATTTTTAATAAGATACTTGAATTTGTATCTAAGAGACATTTTTATAAAGAATCTGTATCAAGATTCATATATCTACGGACTTATATGTATTATACTCTATTTAATAAAACATAAATCTAGGTCTTCAACTTATATTTAACTTGGACGAAGTCTCTTTCATTCAAAATATGGTCTTTTATATTGAAGAAGCCTATAGAACAGCTGTATAAAAAAATTAATAACTTGTTTATATTACTATAAAATCCTTAATACTTTGCGAAATATTAAAACTAAAGATCTGCAAATTTCTACTTGGCCAGGCAAATTTTTTAAATAAATATTCGGGTCAGGCCAAACAAAAAGAAATAATTTTTTAAATTTCTAGCTAATATTTATATACTTCATTACATTTTATATTCTCAATTTCAATATTAATCTCCTTTCCTCTCTCATCTCTCCTCTCATTTTTTGGTTTGTATCACCCTATAATTATATTGTTTTATTTTAATTTCAAAAAAGTTTTTAAAATTTAATACCCTATTATTTATTGTTTTTTTTCAAAAATTTTTACAAAATATATAATACTGTTTGCTATTAATGAAATAAAAATATTAACATCTTTTCAAACTGTTCATCATTATAAAATTTTAGCAATAGCGATAGACAGCATTAGTGCCCAAAAGAGTGAATTCAATAAATTGTAATCTTAATTAACATTAATAATATTTAAGAAAAGCCATTAACCTCAAACAGGGGTGGGGTTAAGCGAGTAACCGGGAGGGGGGATTCCCCCATCGAAAATTTGTCTGTTCTCGTAAATATCATTTTAAGCTAATAAAAATTTCCCTCATAAAACCCTCCCTCCCCCCTTCATCACACCTTCCTCTCCAAAAAATGTATGTATGTATATATATAAAATATAGAGAAGAATTGTAATTCAAAATTTTTAGAAAAAAGCTTATAAAAAAATAAGTAAACCCCCAAAATTATTTTGGTATAAATATAAAATAGCTAAAAGCCTGCAATAAGTGGTCCTAAAGACCTCCAATAAAATTAATTTCTGAAAAATCTGCCTAAAAGTGGTTTCCTTCTATCAGAAAATCCTATACCCCTTAGGGGAGAGTATTTTGCAATGGGTGGATAGCCATCAATTTTAAATTTTTAACCTTTGCCCATGTTCGAATTACCTAACCAATTACCCATTTAAATTTGATTAGCTAACCCACCCATTTTGAATAAATTATTTGATTCCTTTTTCATTCATTATATAAAGGAATCTCTTTTTGATAAATTAATGAAACAATAAAAAAGCAAATTCATAAAAATTTAAACAAGTTAATTATAACAATTCCGAATATTCAATATATAGATTTAGATATAGACAATAAAAATGTGATCACCTGAAAATTAGTAAAAAAAATTTAACGGGCTAGGCCGGATTTTTAGTAAAATTTTAACTTGCATGACCGCACTCTTTGATATTTATTAACAGCCTAAACTGGTCAAAAAAATTCGGGCCCTGGCGAACTTATGCAAAATTCTTAAGGGGCCGGGCTTTGCACATCTCTGATTGAAACTATTTTGATTAATTTTGTATACATTAGTTTAGCACCCACCAGATGGTCACCTTCAAATTTCTTAATGTTTATAATATTAGAACCAATTAAAATATTTTTTTAATTAGGATTACGGTATATGGGAAAGAGGGCAAAAAACTAATCAGGGTTTGCCAGAACTTAACTCCAGTTCTATAGGAATGGCTAAAGTAATTTTTTTTTAAATTTATTTATATGAAATGCATTTTATATATGGTTGTCACAAGAATTAGTTTTTAAATTACATTTAAATATTAATGTCTTGTCCTGGTTCGTCTTATTTTTTTAAGTCTATTTCTGTTTAGCCCAGTTCATGGACACTCTATTTTGGTTTTTTTTAAATAAATATTTTGGTTTGGAAAGACTCACAAAGATGCGTTACCTGGGTCAATCTAATTATACTCTTTCTTTTTAGTCTTTTAGATGAGACGGTAAACAGACTACTGTTTAGAAATAAGACGAACCAAGACACGGCTTAAATGTTATTTTTTTTCTTAATAGGAAAATTTATATTAGCTATCTTTTTGTATGTATAATACTTAGGCAGCTTTAGACAGTTTAAATGAGTTAGATCTTTTTGGAGCCGCCGGGGGCAATAGTTCAATTATACATTGCGTGGCAGGTGAATCACAACAATGCGAAGTATGAATTATATTTTATCATTTTTAAGCTTATTATTATCCGTAAAGATAAACTTTGGATTATTCTAACAAGTATAATATACTAATTATATGGATAATAATATAGCTTTTTATTTTCGATCTGATACGATTAGATTTTTATTAATAATTTGCATTAACGACTTGGCACTCCGCGAGAAATTTAAATGGAAATAATTCAAAATTTTTAATCAATTTGATTTATTATATTTTAGATAGTTTTAGAATCCATGCTGCCCCGTGAATCTAATTCCAAAGTAACTTTTTTTTAAAATTATGTTTTATGGATTCTCATTCCTTTAAAATCAAAATAACATGTAACATTAAATTAGGAAGTTGACTCTGCCATATTGTTCTTAATAGGATATCCAGCTTTTGCCATTGACAGTATTAGCCTCGTTAAACACACCAAACAAGTTATCATCGAAAAATTGCAAGTATATATTTGAACCAATGGCGTAGATACTATTCATTCATCAAAATGCATTTTAGAAGCGTCGTTAAATATAAATCAGCTGGCAACATGCCATTTTTGTTTCCCAGATAATTATAAAGTGTTTATAAAATTTCAATGTAAATTATTTATATGGAAAGTCAAAATGTGCCATCAGCTGATTTGTATTGATAGACATTTAAATGTTAGTCTGGGTGTTATCATATACTATTGACTTAAACAACTATATAAAAAATTTTACACATCATAATTCAAATCAAATTATTTTACATTTCTTAAATTCTATATTATTTTAAATAATATATTTATTTTTCCTAATGAGATTATTTTTAAGATGTTATTTTTCCAAAACTATTTCCTACGCAATTTTCTTTACTTCAAAATAACATGCGATAATTTGACTAAACAAATTTTCTTGCATAATATAATGTAAAAATGATAACTTGTCCACTTCATTCATATCAGACGAACGATTAAAGCTTCTAATTTATATTATGCAAAACAAAATTAAGCAAAGAAAAACGAGCTTAAAATCTTTTTGAAAATGATATAGGACAGAATCCGGACCGACTGACTGACCAGTATTTTCCGAACCGCGATCTAGTCTAGTCTTTATGTTTCGATCTGCACTTTATGTCAATATTTAATAACCTTATTTTGATTTAAAAAATATTTATTAGGGTAGATACGGTTTTAAAAGATTTCTCAGAGATGGGTACTGCACAGCTATAGAGGTTTTATTTGTTTTTCTTTCCGCTATCTAATAAATTTATATTAAATATTATTGCACAATACAAGATAAAAAAATTTTTATACATTCATGTCCAGTTTAAATTTTGAAAACTTGAAAATTGCATTCCCGGCTTTCTATTATAGTTGGATATTTGCCCATTTAACCAATTTTCTAGAAAATGGCTAATCCTCGTTTTTAGTCTAACATTATCACCTCAGCATTTGTTTCTTTAGGGCTATACCTATTTTTTTATGCATTAACATCTTGGAATATTGATTTAACATTAAAACTCGTTATAAGACAAGATTATTATTAGAAGGCATTAGAATCGGCCAATCAAAAAAAAATTTTAGGATCAAATCGGAAATTTGTTTAGGATCGGATCGGCGAAAACAGTCTAATTTCATTTGCCGATACCGACTCCTTAAAATATTTTTTGGTTGATGACTTATTTTAAAGTTTTATTAATATTCCTAGATGGTTATGCACTAAAAATTTACTATATTGTACTAATTCCGAGATTGCATATTTATAACCAGGTCATTTTATATTAAAGCCCCTTAGTTTTTTTTTTGAAAATAAAGCATAATTTTAAAGAAAACAAAAATAAATTAACTCGCGCAGTGTTTAGCATATTTTCTTTGGTGCACACCTATGAGTCGATTTTTAGCCGATACCAAGTTATAAATTCTAGGCCTGACTGATAACAAATCATAATTTTTAATCCCGAAAATTTGTTTCTACCATTTGAGTCAAATTATATCTTTCATCAATAAATTAGAACGATTTTAAATGGTTATTTTTTTTAAAAGAGGTTTATAAATTATCAGTTCTCGGATATATTTAAGACATTGGCATTGTTAGCGCTTATTATTTGGACAGTTTGCTAAATTGTCCTTTTTTAATTAGAAATGTTCAAAAAAAATATATTAATTAAAAATGATCATTTACTTATTCATTAAAAAAAATAATAGGACGCGTCCAGGCAATATTACGAACCTTACGAATTGAAAACTTTTGAGAACATCGAATGCGAATGGCCCATGTTCTTCGCCTTAATGAAAATCGATGCTGTATTCCAGAAAAATCAAGAACGAGTATATAAATTTTGAGAATTGGAAATTTTTACATACATAATGTATATATTATGTATATTATATATGTTGAAGTAGAAGTAGAAGAGAAATTCCCGTGTTAATCCCTTAATCAGCAACTGAATTAAAAGAGGTGGCTGGCATCAAAGTTTATTCAAAAAAATCCGTTTAACGAGATAAATTTAATTTAATTATTTTGTGTATTTGTAATATAATTTAATAAAATCTGATTGAAGGAAAGATAGAAGGAAATGAATAAATAATAAAATAAATATCTAATTCTACTTTTTATTGATACAAATGATCAAAAATTTTTTTATACATTATTTTAAAGCTCGAGTATTATGACGGAATTTTGGAAAAAGTGATGATACATCGGAGCGATGGAGTCAAAATTATGCCTGAACTATATTCTGTTCCTTTGGAAAAAGTACTTCATTTAAGTTGTTTTTTTTATATTTATCTATCAGTGTTCATCGTTAAATTCCGTGTTTTTTTCTTTCCAAATTCCAAACTAGCTTAGCAAACTCTCTCACATCTTCTCTTTTATTACTTCTACTTTCATAACGATTGATATTGATAAAATGTACTTTTTAGTTTCTTTTCATCCAAAAAACAAATTTAGCTATGAACTTTCCTTGTTATAAGATTATGCCCTCTTATTTAAGTCAACCTCCTCATATCTCTCCTATAAATACTTCTGAACAATAAATTTTTCATTTACAAAGTATTAATATAAATATACTAGTTTATTAATATACTTATAGTTTTTTAATATGATTTGAAAAAAATTAACCTTTTGCAGTGGAGGGAGGGAGGGGGGTTTCATCTTCCCGGCACAATACTAGTATTATTTTTCTCTAATTTTATATGATTTTTTAAATTTGTAGGTTCCCCTTGAACACCAATGCCCACATAGCCAAGATCGAGTGCCCAAAGGTAAATTGCCTTCGCTGATTGGTCAATCTCTTTATATCATCAGTTGCCTTTTGATGGAAGTTTATAATAATGTTTTAAATGCATGTTTATTTTAATTATTATTGTAAGCACTTTTATATTAATAGTTAAATATAAATTTTTCTTAATTGTATAATTATTGGTTTGTATTTAAGTTTATAATTTATTCTTCGAATGCAAAGAATATTTACTTATTAAAAAGAATGGAGTTATTCCTGCTTCGCTGGTATAGAATAAATGAGTTATTTTAAATTAATCTGAAGGCTAATCACTTAACGGCGATGGGAAATTTATGGATTAATAACACTTAAAGTGTGTCATAAAAATTTAAAAAAATAAAAAATTAAATTAAAAGCAAAGAATACTAAATTACTTCTTTTTAAAAAATAATTGTTTATATTAATTTCTTCAATATAATAAAGAGTTACATAGCTGTGGGTGAGATTGATCCTTTGAATCGTCGCCTCAACATAGAACAAAGGCCCGAACTTGTTGTACAAGGTCTGATACAATTGTTTTATATTTATTTTATATGATTTGCAAGCTCATGTTAATCCAATTTTTTAAATTGGCATGTTTGTAGCTTACCTAATCTATATCTTTATAATTAATAAGTTTTATTTCCGTATAATGTGTTTTATACATAATAATATTTTTTATTATCTTTATAAATTTTTGCTTTACGTTGCATATCTCTCAAATTTTCTCCCTATATAAAAAATAGACTGTCTTAGACAAAACATAAAATAAATTTAGTTGTTTAAAAACTGATAATTGTTGAATTTTAAATGGATCGGCCAAAGCCTAAATTGTTGCCTCCCGAAGAATTGGCGATAGTTTAATTTTATGTTTTATTTAGAAATATATTGCAACGTACCAGTTGCAGTTATAGCTTGTTGATTTAAATTGGCGGTGAAAGAAATGGTCTCCTCCGATACCCATACAGGTCTAAAGCACTTTTCATGATGTCTTTGTTATGAAGTTTATGTACATTTAAATCAAGTGTAGCCCGCCTATGGTTAGTAAACATAATTCGATGTCATCATTATTCCTGAGATTAGCAATAAAAGAGTCGCGAAGAGAATTGTTTAAAGTGCGCCTGAATGAACAATTAATCGCTAATATCTATTATTATTATATTTTTCTCATAAAGGGAAAAAAGAATGTTAATGCGATTCAGACATGCAAAGTAAGGTAAAAATTTATGATACTAAAATGTTACAATGCAAATCAAAATATTTTAAAAAAATAAAATAATTTTTCAAATAATATGGATATAAATCTACCAACTTTAAAAGTTGGATTAACATAAGCATGGAAATTATATAATAATATTATTATAGGATTCTAACTCTAAAAAATCATTAATCAATGTAGTTTATTATATGAAAATAAAATCATATTAAAAATTATTTTTTCAATGGTGATGGGGACTTTTAAGGTTATATCTTGGACCCTGACTAGTGATGAGACATTGTTACGCTTGAAGTTTACCGAGACTAGCTGAGGCATGAAGCGTTATGACTCAGCTTTAAGATGCGTATTTTTTTGGCCAATCTTCTAGGAATAAGTTATCTTTTACGACTCAAGTTGTGAAACGCTTTTTTTGCCTAGGTGATTTTTTGGCTAAACATTATTTTGTAGTCGCCATGAGTGTAACAATTTACCAACACAAACTTTAACTCAATTTTGAACCAAATTAGAATTAGAACTCAATCACCCTTTACATGAAATATTTGCAATTCTTTTCCTTACCCATAGCTCTTTTTTTTGAATTATTTCTTTTGAAATTTTAAAATAGTTGTAGTTATAGCTGGAGACGATCATATGAAGAGCGAATTAAAAGAGCTAGACATTCCAGTTCAAACGAGTCAAGAGATATATCCTATCGAAGTGCATCCTTCATTGGTCCTCACTAAAATTTACAGCTATCTAGGTTATTGGGTTTATATATAATTTTGATACTTTCTTTACGAATATCTGGTTGGGGTAAACCGTATAAATACGTGGTAAGAGGAGGATACCCTCAAGTCATATACTGGGAGATTTTAATTGTTACAACAAAAAAAATCTGTATATATTTTGACCTGGTTTTTACAGGAACCTTCTATTTTATGATAAACTATGTTTATGTAAAGTTTCATATTTTTTTATTTTATTAAATTATTTTCATATAAATTTTTCAAATATTTGACAATTATATATTTAAATATTAATTAATTTAAATTTGATTATTGCATGTTTTAAATAGATATTTATAGAACAAATATGAAATATGATACTTAAAGCAATTTTGCTATTCTTTTGTGACACTCAAAAATTCTCATTAAATTTTTATTTATGATGTTGAATAATATAAAGTAATTTAATATATTTTGTATATATATTATTATTAGGTGTCAATAAAAAATTGCATTTATCTGGTAGACCATTAAACGAAACCTTTCTACTATCTACTTGTAAATTATACACACTAGAAGAACGATTATTGGCATTTACTTCTCATGTAATCATCATCACACATTTTACTAATCGAATCAAAAATATAAATTTAAGAAAACTTTCAAAATTTAACAAAAGATAACAAATATTTGGAAATAATAATATATTAATTTTTTTGTAATTTTACTCGAATAACGAATAATATTTTAAATACAAGTATTTGGATCAATCTGAATTCTACATGGCATCGGACCAGGACTTATACGTTGACATGTTTAAAATGTTGCTTGGTATGCTCTCAAATTCGTGGAAAGAAGTTGGAAGACCTACCATGTTATTGCATTTACAAAAGGCTAGTGTAGGTAAGGATACATTTCATATTCATTTATTCATTATTACATCCTGAACATTAATAATGTTCTTATTAAAGCCTTTTATATACCCATCTTAATACGATCTGATCCGACTTAATGCGGATAAGCCGGCGCCATTTAAATTATTTTATGTTACTGATATCTTTTATAAATACTCCTTTAAAGGAAATACACCAAAAATTTATTTTGCTTCCCCTTAATCATATTTTCTTTTCAGTCTAATATTATACTTTAAAATTTTTTCTCGGTTCGGACTCAATTCGGATCTTTGAAAAAAATAGGGTGGTCGATCAGATAAAAAATTCTCGGATAAGACTAGGTTGACAAATACTAAATCGATTAATTTCTTATTGTACGAATTATAAAAAACCTTTATTTTATTCGAAATTTGTTTTTTTTAAATATTTTAAAAAGTGAAAAAATGGATTATTATATTTAAAAAATGATAAATAGTAAAAAAAATCCATAAGTAACATCTTGAATGCTAGCGAATAATTCTTATTACGATTACAAATAATTTATAATATTTTCATATGATTCATATAATTTCATCGATTAAAGCAATAAAGAATGATTCTTTTTTTAGTTTAAAGCAATAAAGAATGATTCTTTTTTTAGTTTAAAGAAAAAAAGAATAAATGAAACTTTAAAAAATGTACCCTATGTAGGGCTCTAATTAATTTTTACTTGTAAACTGTGACATTTTCATTTTTATTGTCCATTCCCCTATATATTTTTCTATTAGTGAGAATTTTTTTTTAACTTTTTAAACATAACACACTCAACAGATGATAACGGGAAAATATATAAATCGATAATAACTACACTTTGTAAGGTCAAAGATGGATACCTTGGCGGTGTTAGGTAATATTCAAAAAAAAATTAAATATATTAATGAGTAAAAGTTAAGGATTTATTTTGTCTACCATATGAACATTAGACATTGATATGATAAGGTTTTATGAAAATCATATTAGATTTTGATTTTAATCCCCCCCCCTTGTTTACTACTAAATTTTATTTACAATTGTTAGAATATCATAATATTTAAATCAACATTTGAATAAAGGGTTCAAATCGGTTATTTAAACGATTTCCTGAGCACTTCATGTATAACCAATATCTCATGGCTAACTGATAATATAGAAGAGAGAAAATCATCTGGTATTTATAAATAACTATATTTTTGATAATATTTTTTTACTTATGTTATCGATAATTAATGTGTCTTATATTTTAAAAAAACGCTTATAGCATCAAAGACTCGTGCTCTTCCGCCTCCTTTAATCTTATTGCATAATTATTTAAAATAATTAAGCTTATATTTTAATTAAATAATATTAATTAAAACTTTAGATAAGTTAGGCAAAATGATGGACTACAATAATTATTATCATGATTTAAATGAAGGCTCGTTGCTTAAAATTAAGCAAAAGCATGCGTATTGGGCGATAAAATTATGTAAAAAATAATAATTACATAAGAGTCACTACTATTTATCTCCCTTATATATTTCTATAAGAATTAATTAATTTTCGATAACATCATCGATTTAAACATTTTTCGGTATTTTAATATTTGATAAAAACATAAACTTAACCGCCAAGAATCGCATTCGCTTAATCACATACTGGGACAGGCTAAGATAACTAAGCCTCAGTTATCCCCCGCCATCCATAAAAATAGCAAAATGCATTGGGCCAATATGAGACGGTATACGCAATTTTGTAAGGGCTTGGTTAAGAGGACTAAATCAATATCACTGGAACAAACGAACCCAGGTTATTTAACACACTACTATTCACTCAGTAAAATTATTACGTAAATTCTAATCATGTTATTTTAATTAATATTATATTATTTTTTTTTAATATTTAGGAATTATTTATATTGCTATTTTCATTGATTTTAAAATCTTATCAATATTCATTGCATATGGTATTGCTGAATTATAAATATTTAATATATATTGTGTCGGTTTATTTTACAAGATTATTTTATTAATTTTTAAAATTTCTCTATATTTTTTGCCTTAATTTTATTTAATAAACCTTATTTTTTTTGTCGACCCAGAATATTAAATTTATTAACCAACTTTTCTTAACCATATACAGTCATAACGCTAAATCTTTTATGGACAAAATATAACATCTCAAAAAATATTATTATTTTCTCAGATTTACTAAAGGTTCGAGCTCATCTTAAGGATATGAAAGAAACCGCCAAAAAACAAGTTATTCCCACCACGAACACGTTAAGTGTCGAAAAAGAGTCCAAAACACTTGATTTATCAAGCTTGACTCATCAAGTTCTTCATCCGTCCCCTTGTAAATTAATAGAGAAGAGAAAAAAATTTTATTTAATTTGAGCTTCCGTGGTATCTAAAATATCAACAGTTACACAAATATAACAAGTGTCGATGGGAAGAGAAATTTTTAAAATAGTAATAATGTTTAGTCTCTCTAAAAAAAAACTAGAATCTAAATTAATTTTGCTAGTTTTTTGAAAAAATTAAAATATTGAAATGCTCAAAAGAGGAATGATTTCACTTTGAGAATTTATCAAGCTCATAGCAAGGACGAATTTTAAAGTCCAGTAGTATTAAATTTTGTGCCAAGATTTGAAGTTTTGGCCGATGTCGAATTGATATCTCGCATACAATGTGATAGATGGAAATTAATGGAATTGGGAGTATAATAATTTTTTCTATGTTCGCATTTTTTTGGAAAAGCTGATACCCACTACGACCATTTTACTGAATGGAACAAAGATGTCGAAAGTAGCTCCTACCACAAAGTAGACACTAACGAACTCATCAAAATGTTAGTCCAAACCGATTCTCTCAACGAGCAAGCAGACATCATCCATTATCTCTATATTACGAAGTGAAATTTTTTTTTAAAATTGGGTTTTATTTCTCCCTTCTAATTAAAACTGCTTATATTTAAATATTATTGAAAAAATTTAGAAGGAAAGGGCTATTTGACTTTAGAATATAGTGATTACTATATTTTGTTAAAACTTAAAATGTATCAATTAGGTAAAATTATATTTATTTTCAAATTTTATACCTATTTTTAAGAAATTTTGATCGCTATACTATTAAGGCATTGTTAAATCAAAAGGTTTTGAGCGTCGCTTCGCACCATTATAGACATGACGGAGAGATAAGTGAATTTATTTTTTTTTTAAATCTTAAATTAGGGTCTATTTGAGAACGCCAATCAGTAATTTGGTTTAACAGCTTATATCTACAAGGTAAAATATATATTAAAAATATAAATCATATCATTTTATGTTGGTAATAAGGGGTCCAGAATGGGTGGTTAACGTTGAGGAGAATAACAACATTACTGTATTAGATCTTTTGCAAGAACTCTATGACAAGGTTTGAAAATTTTTTTTATCAATTTTCTTTTTATTTCAAAACTATTTATTGTTTGATTTCCAATTATAGATAGATATAAATATATTTTTTTACAGCAACTCCCTTCCATAGTTTTTTTTTTAATTTTGTTTTGTCATGATTTGGGTAAAAACTCTAACATGCTACTGGGCAAAAATATTCTTAATTTATTATTTTCAAAGGTAAGATTAACTTCACCTACTGTTTAAAATTCACTTTCCACATATTTGAAAATATTTTGTCAAAATTGGGGTATTTATGTCATATCTTTTTGTCAGATTTTCCCATTAACATAATATAATGCAATGACTTGATTATATAATTTTTTGATTATGAAAAGTTAATTTTATTTTAGCATTTTGTGATTTTTATTTAAGGCTTGTCACGCCAAGCAATGGTGGCTTGTCAGGCATGCAGCTGGCCTCTTGAAAAAAAGAGTTGACAATTTATCCAAGGTATAATTTTTAAATTTTACAAAAATTTTTTTAGAGATTTTTACAAGATTTAAAACAATTAGTCGCTTAGCCAGGAATTTTCTACGGGGGGGGGGGGGGGGTAATTTATATTGAAATGATTTTTTTTGGAACATTAAAAATTTATTAGAACTAATAATCATATAAAATTTATTAGAACCAATCATATTTGGAAATATGATAATTTCGAACCCTAATAATTAAATATTGGAAAATTCAAAATATTAAGAACGAATATAATACGGTTAAAAAATGTTATAGCTATGGTATGTAAATCACAATAAAATATAAAATTAAACATTTTATAATAACTTAAAAAGTTAATCTAAATATCATTGGGTTACAAAATTCAAAGAATTTATATATCGGAAAAAGTTCACATTACAAGCAGACCACAAGCCATTAAATCCAAGAAAAGATATACCAACAACCAGGGACCCAAACCGTTATTTATAATGGTTCAGTTTGGTTACGGTTCAGTATGTAAAAAAATATAATGGTTACGTTAAGGTTACGGTTCTTAAGAAGAAATTTATAAAGGTTTGGTTCGGTTCTAATTATAAAGTTCATTCCGGTTAGAAATTTTTTTATTGAAGCAACACCATCTTCTAATTTATTTTTATTATAAGCATCTATGAATTATATATAAAAAAAAATATATAAGATTCAGAATAACTCATTTTTAAATATATTATTTGAAAGTATAAGTAATATATTTTCTAATATAAATGGTTTCCTTTTTGTTCGTTGTGACTATAACACAAATTTTAGCCCTGAAAAAGCCCAGGGAACGCCAGTACTTTAAGAGCAAGTTTATATAATTCTCGATATTCAAATTATTTCTATTTCTAAAATATAAAAACTGAACTGGTTTAAACCGGTTTAACAGCTTTTTATAAAGGTTCTTTTTACTCCTTCAAAAAATAATTATATCGGTTACGGTTATGGTTCAGATATTTATAACGGTTTATAATGGTTTAACGGTTCGTTAAGGTTCACTCCGGGTCCCTGCCAACAACATCTACTGCCAAAATACAAAGATGGGATTTATTATTAGCAGGTTACCAATATTAAATAGAATTCAAAAATAGTCGACAACTAGTCAATGCTGATATGCTATCTCTATTACCTATACAGGGAACCACAATATCAAAAGAAGAAACATTAAATCAAATACAGATGGGAGAACAAACACCTTTAAATACAAATGAGATTGAAAGAAAAAAAATGCAAGATGATATACTCTCTAAAGTATACAGATATACAATAGACGGATGGCAAATAAACTATGATACATGTTTAAAGGAGTATAGCCAGAGGAGAGAGGAAATTACAACAGAGAGAGGTTGTTTACTCTGGAGAACTAAAATGATTATAATACCACAACAATACCGAAACATCGTGTTAGACATGATACATCAAATAGATATTGGAATGGTAAAAATGAAAATGAGATCAAAACAATACGTGATGTAGCCTAATATAAACCAAGATATAGAAACATGGGTCGAAAAATGTAGTGGATGCCAGGAACAACACGATATGCCTCAAAAGACGTCAATTTAAAATTGGCCAAAACCATTAAAAGCATAGCACCGAGTACATATTGATGATGCTGGACCATTTCAAAATCATTATTGGTTGGTAGGGATAGATGCTAGCAGTCGTTGGTCAGAAATAGTTCCCGTGACTAGTACTACAACCGAAATCACGATAAAAATATTAAAAAATATCTTTGCCAGATTTGGATAATCGTTTTTGATAACGGGCCACAATTCAGCAGTAAAGAATATAATGATTTTTGCGAAAAAAACGGAATAAAATTAGTGCACGGAAGTCCATACCATCCTTAAACTAACGGCATGACTGAACGTTTAGTTCGAACCTTTAAACAGAGCATGAATAAAAGCAACCAGGGGATTTAGAAACTAGTTTAGCTATTTTTCTCTATAATTACCTAAATACACCAGGGGCAGAAAATGAACAAAGTCTCGCCGAAGTACTATTAAAAATTAAACTAGAGGAGACCAAATATTCGAACGGGAGAACAAAGGAGAAGTTAGAATAATACACTCAAAAATTTGAAACAAATGAAGAAGTGTTGTCGCGCATTTACAATAATATAGGAAAAAATGGGGAAAAGCCATTATTAAAAGCATACTCGGATCACTACGATATGAAGTAAGTATAGAGGGTAGAACGATTATACGTCATACTGAATAGGAAAGGAACCGAAAATATATTAACTGAAGATTACGAAGTAGAAGAGAGAACCGAAGTGATAGTAAACAATATAGATGAAATAAACCTAAAAGAGAGGGAGGAAAATAATACAATTTAAGAAACTGAAGGAAATATCACAAAAGTTAGAAACTACAAGTCAAGATCAATATCCGAAAAAATTACGAACGAAACCAATTTGGAGATAAATGTTATGTATTGAATTGTTTATTGTTATATTTGTATTTTTCTAAAATGTTTATTTTCATTATTATATTTATTATGAATATAATAGATGAATAGAAAAAGAAAGCGATACGATAACGAATAGAAGAAAAATATATTTCAATACTTCTAACATTATATTTCAAGAATTACTTCATATAAAAACATATTTATTAAATCTTTAATTAGGGAATTGGAACTTTTTGACTACCCTAGTTGTTACAGGAAAAACATAAAAGTGATGAAATTTAAAGATTTAACATAAAACAAATTAAGAGTTATCAATAACCGATGACATTAAATTTATATCAATTTCATATCAGAATTCCGCAAAACAAGAGAAACCTAGAGGAAATAGAAATAATATTTAAAAAAGTTCTGCATGATAAAAAAAAATAAGAATGTAAAGGAAATAAATTATATTGAAAATACTACAGCTGTATCATAGAATTTCTTCAAAAAATAGGAAAATGTTATCATTGTATATCCATTGTGACATATATTTTAATTCTTCACAATTAAATTGAGAGAGTTTTATTCTTCGCAAAATACTATAACATTATTTTTCAAACTACCAAAAAAACATGCATGTCATTTATTAAATTAAATTTGATATTATCTACCCCTCCTTCTAGACGTGTGGCCTGGAATTTTCAACAGGGAAGATGGTGGGGGGGGGGGGGGTGATTTTTAAATATTTATTTAAAAAAATTGGAACATTAAAATTTATTAGAACTATTCATCATATAAAATTAAATAGATCTATCATATTTTTAAAAATGACAATTTGGAACACAAATGAAAATATTTAAGAGCGAATATAATGTTATAAAAAGTTAATCAAAATATCGTTCATATATGAAAATTTAATATTCTTTGCGATTGTTACAATTTTTCAATAAGTTATTTTGTATTGGGGATTAGATCTCTAACCCATTCAATCGATTTTCTGATGTCCTATCTGAGTTAAGTTTTTATTCTCCGGAAGAAAGCGTACTCTCATTTATGCTATTGACTAATATACAGAAATCTCAATAACTTTGGATAAAGCTCATAAATGTATTCTAAAGTATACAATGCTTCCATGGGTTTCTTGGAGTTTATCTTTCATACCAAGATTTAAATTCTGAAAGTATTAACTCAGATACATTTAAATCTTCTGAATAAAAGCTAAATTTTATTTTTCAATGTCAAGATTTAATCTTCAAACCATATTTTTATCATATTTCTTATTGTTGCACATTTTCAAAAAAAAACATAATAATATCAGATTGTAACCGATTTATTGGTTCATCAAAAACAAGTTACCGTGGGTCTACCACCTGAGCCCAGGGAAAAAATAATTACCCACCCTTTACCGCCAGATAAAATTAGAGACCTCATTAATGACGTTTACGGTGGGGATAGTAGTACCGCTATGTTGACTCAGGTTAAACTTTAATTTCTTTTAAATATATACTCCAGCACTACGTTAATTTTTATAAATTATAATGTTTTAATTAAATTATCTAAATTCATGGCTAAAATTCCTTCTATTGCAAATGAGCCTACTCTGTTACCTTTTGCAGGATCGGGAAGTAGCTGATCATAAAAACCTGATTCTATCTTGCCTTCAAAATAATATAAAAAACGAGCTAGGCCAAATCTCATATTGTCACCATCTTTAGGGGAAATATTTTTAAATAACGCGCTCAAAATTCGATTATGTATAGAAATAAATATAAAATACGATAGAAATTAAAATCAAATATTTTAGCCTTTGTTTTGATAGTCGAGGGAGCATTGATTTTTTTATTGGAAATGTTAAAAAATTTAAAATATTTATTTGGAATGATTTTGTTTTTTTGTTGTTTTAATCGTAGAGGTTTATCAAAGAAGTTTATTATTACTTTAAACCAATGGCGTCGTTTTCTTTTCCAATTTGTGGAGAGGCTCACTTTTTAGAAAAATTATCAAAAAAGGCTCCCATTCTATCTGGTTCCTAAAATTTTGAAAAGTGTGTTTCCCGTTCCTAAATTTGGTTCTAAAGGTTGGTTGCAAACTTTGTTATATAAAAATCAACAGAAAAATTTAAACAATTAAATAAACCCTCTAAAATTAATCACTTAACATTTTTAAACATTATATATAAATTACGTGCACTTTTGTTATTACCGGGTTCTAGAAATTTTTATAAATGGTTTTAAAAGTGGTTTCCAGGTTTCTGCTCTGATCTTGTTCCAGACTTTTATTATATCCAAAGATGATTACTTAATACATAATATATTTGCTTACTTAATATAAATTAACTGGAAGCTTGGGCCTATCTGCCCCATCCCCCGAACGATGCTACTACATTTAACAATTTATGCTACATAAAAAGATAATCATTAATCCTCATATAACTTATATTGTATTCACAACTATAGGAACTTTTGGTGTACCTTTCCATAATGATAATAACTGAGCCAAATTTATTCAAGGAAATGTTGAGACTCAGGACAGGTCTGATTCTGCAAGTTATGGCTTCAGAGTTGGCCAGAGTTTTGGACTGTTCAGGTACTAAAATATTATTTACAATTAATGCGAAAATATTTCAATACCGATAAATGTATTTAAATATATCTCAAAAAAGAGTGCCAAAAATTTAAAAAAATTTTTTTTTGGTATGCCATAAGTTAATTATTAATTTAATATTTTTATATATCCAAAAGTCAAAAAATAAATTTTTTTTATATTAATCAGAGACCTGCAGAGGTACCATTTGCACGGCCCGGCCCTGTTTTAAATTTTGTAGGCCCGGCCCGGATATTTTTAAAAAAAATTTTTACGGCCCGGCCCGGATTTAAAAATTTCAGGCCCGGCTCGGAATTTTTTTAAATTATATTCGACTTGGTATATACAAAAATTCACCTATGAGGTATTTTACCATATTTTTCAGCGAGTATTATCGCTTATTATTTAAAAAATACATGTAAAAAGCTAATATTTTGAGAATATTATATTGAATTTATAAAACTGTTATTTATAAAAATGGATATTTTGAGCATATACTATATTTTATATTGCATTTATAAAAATAAAACTAATATTCATAAAAATGGTAATAATATTTGTCATATACTATATTTTATATTACATTTAAAAAAAATAAAACTAATATTTAATTTATAAAAATGGAAAATATTTTGAGAATATAATATATTGTATTTAATTTATAAAATAAAAATAAATCGCTATTTAAAAAAATGCATGTATAATAAATAGTATTTTGAAAATATAATCTAATTGCACAAAATTAATATAATTTATTTTATAATATAAATTTTTAACAAAAGAAGATAATTGTATTATATAATATTGTAAAAAAAAATAATGAAAAATGTTGGATTAAATACTTTCATGACTCAAGGTAAATATAATAAATGCAATAAATATTTGACAGTTTGCAAAGTAAAAAACCAGCATGATTGACGAAACCCTATACTCAAGAAAGATATTAAAAATTCACAAATTATCATGAAGAAAGAGAAGCATATCTACCTTTTCAGGTTGAAGATTACTTCTTCTTTCTTCAAGAATTCTTCCAGTAGTGGAAAAATACCGCTCACAGCTTGCACTTAAAGCAGGAATTGCCAATTTTGCTAAAATTGGAAATTCGCTTTGATGAGCCGCCCACCACTCTAACAAATTATCCACCTTAAATGTTTTATCTATTATTTATGTAATTATAATATTCATCATCGGGTATTGACATATTACCAGATTTACCATCGCCCCATTTGTCATAAAACGATTCAGTTTGTTTAACAACAGTCGTAATTTGACTGGTCGATGGTATTTCATTTACTTCCTGAGCCTCTTGTAATTTAATATAATCTTTTATATAGTTTTCCGTCATTTTGCGATCTGTCCCTGACTACATACGTAATTGCTTGAATTTGGGACAGAGAAAAAGAGAAATAAAATGATACTTGTGTAAAACAAATTTTTCAATTAAAAAATGCTTTATATTAAGTAAAATCAATTTTATTTCTCCTTTTCGCTTTGAAAGGTATTACAAACTTTAAGAAGTGATATTCCTTTATTTGATTGTTTTGGTAAAATATATTCTAAAAATTTAGATATGAATTATAAAAAAATATATTAATAATACTTGAATATTGGGGCTTATTTAAGATATTCCTTGATTGTTTTGGTAAAATATGTTGTAAAAATTTAGATATGAATTATAAAAAAATATATTAATACTTTGAATAAATTTGCAGGAAATTAATAATTAGATCGATCTGTGGGTTGTTAGGTAGTGTTAACCATCACCCAATATTATATTAATCATAACTATAATATAATATAATCTTATAACTATTAATTCATAATGTAAAAATTTTTATAAAAAATATTAAGGCCCGGCCCGGGTTTAACAATTTTAGGCCCGGCCCGGATATATTTTAAAAAAATTTTTTAGGCCCGGCCCGGATATGTTTAAAAAAAAATTTTTTAGGCCCGGCCCGGGTATATTTAAAAATTTAAAATACGGCCCGGGCCGAGCTTAGGGCCGGGCCTGCAGGTCTCTGATATTAATAGCTAATTTCCTGAATGGCATTCCTCCTGTTTTAATATAACTAAGTAAATTAATAATATTCTAGCCAAAGATGCCTCTCTCTTACGTTTAATTTAATCTTAATTACCTGAGTCGATTTGAGTTCACGACTTGAGCCGACTTGAATTCCCGAATCGAGTCGACTTGAATTCACGACTCGTTCATACTCAAACAAATCAGTTTCGGGTCGATTTTTCCACCCAAAACTTGGTTTCGTTTTCAACTAAGTCGATAACAACACTAATCTCCAGCATAATATTGTATTATAGATATCATTATTGTTATTATGATTTACTTATTATATTAAATATGGTAATTCACGTAAGATAAATTTACACTGACAGATATTATTCGTTTTATTTTAAAATTAAAACATAATAATAATCATTTCAAGATTTTGAGTCTTTATAGATTTTTCCGTCGATTTCTCGTATTCATAAAAATAAATATTATCCGAAACCGATTTAAACTTTAATATTAACATTATAATTCTTATACATTAAAAGAAATCAATAATAAAAATAGCATACAATCCTATAATATCGAAAGAAAAGAAAGTAAAAAAATAAAAAATAAATTTTTAAATAATAAATAATTTCTTGAACACAAGGAATAATCACCTTTTTCTTGGAGATTACAATATTTTAAAAAATTCCCACGATTATAATAAATTTCAAAAAATTTCCTCAAGCCCATATCCAAAAATTTAACCTATTGTATTTAATGAAAATAAACAGTGTTTATATATTTAGTTTAGAAAATCATTTGTTTAAAATACTAAAATTTATTATTATTAGAAGAAAAAATTTATAATATTTTTAAGTTAGCAACTGTTTTAAATATTTTAAATTTAAATATTTTAGGCCCAAGTCCTTTTTTTCAAAAACCCAGGCCCACTAGGAAATATAATATATGGCAGATGTAGTCCCTGGACATTTTTCTCCTTTTAGCTAGGATGTTTTTTTAGGTATTGAATTTTCTTTTTTCGAGATTTTATTTTTTAATATATCTAGTCGAAGTCTGATGATCCTTCCTAGCATTAATTCAGACCATATCTTCCCTGTTTTGGGGTAGCGTGTGCATTCCTGTACATCATTAAAATTTATAAAAACCAGAATGCTCATTTGTCATACAACAATTATTTTTAACGTGTTTTTTATAGTGAGCGGGACGAGGTTAGCTTTCAAAATCTAATGGGGTGTAGGTAAATTTAATGATGATGACCTATTACATTTTTCGATGAAACAAAATATATTTAATACTTCAATTATAAACTTATTATTTATACCAAAAACGCCACTAGATAGGCACTTTGGATTAGAGGTCTGCATTGGGCGGGGTTTCGGTCGACCCGCCCATTTAAACGGGCCGGCAAAAAAAATTTAAGAACGGGCGGGCGGGTTAAAAAAAGTTTTAAACTATGGGCGGGTTAAAAAATTTAGACAATTGACGGGTGGGTAAATAAAAATTTTAAATCATTTAAGTAGATATTAATAAAAAATTATTCTTATGAATTTTTTGGATATTATTAAAATGTCCTTTTTTGGCATCATAAAAACTTTTTTCTTAAAATAAATAAACTTTTTTGTATATTTAAAACTACTTTGGTGGAAACGACAAGAAAGAGATTTGCCAAAGCTATCAAGATTAGATTAGCAATAAAAATATTGACAATTCCTGCAACTAGTGCTTCTTCTGAACGAGGATTCAGCATTGCTGGAAGCAGTGACGAAGCTTCCATAGAAGCAAGGGAAGCATTGCTTCCTTTTAAATTTTTTCTACAAAATTCTTAAATAAACTTAATAGAATCTTTATTATATGTTATCTGACTTCGTTAAAAAAATTAATATAATTTTTATATAGTGTTTTAAACGGCTCGTTTTGAGCCTATTTTTGAAAACTGCTAACTCAATATTTTGGCCAGAAAAATATTGCCTAAGCATCGAGATTTCGATAATATATATATAGACCTTTGTTCCTTCCATGAGCAAAATCTTCAGGCTTGCATATTATTTCTCAGGATGAAATATTTAGTTCGCCGTTTTTAAAAATTGGCTCAAAACGAGCCGTTTAACAACACTATTTTTATAACCTAAAAATGTTAATATTAATTTTACTGCGATAAAAAATTACTATTATTTTTACTACACATGAGGGAAGCAAATTTAATATTGGTTATTTTTTTTAATAAATAAAGAAAATCTTGCGAATATATTGTGTAATTTTACGTTTAAAAAATATGTATTGGGGAAGCAAATAAAAAAATGCTTATTTTTTTAATAAATAAAAGAAATTTTTTTTTAAATATTATATTCTTTTCCTTACTTTTTTTAAATAAAGAATTTTTTCTTTTGTAAAATCAGAGTTGTATAAAAGGTATCTATATCTATATACTATTTTAGAGGTATCTGTTTACTTTTTAAAATATATTTTGAAATACTTTAATTTAACACCTTTTTATCTAAAAAGTAAAAATATTAAGACTAAAAAATATATGTAATATTAAAACTTATATATTATTTTTTCCCCATTTATATCTATAGCTATAAGTTCAAGATTGTGAAGGATATTTTCATCATGCAAAGGAATTTATAAATCCTTGCTTAGCCATCACGCCCATTAATTATATATATAATACCATTGATGCACAAAATTATTTTTAGCAAATAAATTTATTTAGAATTTTGTAAAATAATTTTATAGATATTCGCTAACTTGCGGGAGTTATCTTGATTTCTGTTGTATTTTTAAATACAGTAATTTTTGTTCTCATTCACGTAGACTCGATAGATTAGATTTTTAAGTGGCCAGAATAGGGGGTAACGAAAACATTCCAATTTAACCTTTTACCACCATAGACTTTAATGACTCATATTCTCAACTAAAAGGCCAGAATGAGTAACGAAACTGGCATAAATGAAGGCATTTCCGAATACCTCATTCAATATTGTGGCGCAAGAGTGACAAACAGACATTATTACTTATCTAGAATTGATGACTCATATATTAAAGGTGTTCATACATTTAAGTCATCGTAATTGGCTCAAGTAGAGGCTATTGAAAATCATTTCGTGTAAATGCCTTTTACATTTCGTCAAAGCAATGGCAGACTTTAATGTCACACTTTTAAATGCGTTTTAATGAATGAATCATCAGTCTATGTTAGTATTGATATCATTGGCAACAATGTCTATCAAAGGTTATTATTTTATTTTTCCTGCTTACTATTTTAATTTTTGTCATGGTTTTCTCCTTCTTGCTCAAATAAGGATATGTTACTTTTTTCTCCATCTGACTATTTTAATTTTTGACATGGTTTTCCCCTTTGCTCAAATTTGGATATATTACTTTGTTTTTTCTCCTGATATTTTAATTTTTGTCATAGTTCTCCCCTTCTTTGCTCAATTTTGGATATGTTACTTTAATATTTCCTGAAAAAGGAATCTTTAGGTCTTTTTCCAATTTTTGTGATATAGGTATACATGACCTGTAAAGATCAAGATCTTAAGAATAACTTTAATTTAGATTTGTATGATATATTGGCAAATATTATTTAGTTGGCTCTTTATGTGTCGTTGTTTCAAGTTAATCCGTCGAGTTTGAGGCCGCGAAAACTAATTTTTGTCGAATAGGAAAAGGTTTGAGATCTCTATTATCTTTGACTTCAAAATCATTTCTCCCGATAAACATTGCTTTTGGGTTCTCCTATTAGGATGACAGATTCTCGCACATCTTGAAATATTTCCTGCATTATTTTTTTAAATATTTTCCGAATATTTTTTTAAAATATATTTTTGTAAACCGAGCCTGGCCCGAAATATTTTAAAATTTTTATTCAGTTAAACTGGCGGGTATCATCTATCCAATTTCTAAAAAATATAATGCCCGTTTATTAATTAATAAAGCAAAATATTAATTTTTTTCGAAATTCTTGGATTTTATTTCTGGTTAAAAGTTTTCAAAAATGACAAACAATTTAATCCTAATCTTTAATTATACAATGAAAATTGGTCATTTTTGACCCAGGGTTAGGAGGTTGGGATCATTATTATTTTTAATTTATTTTTTATTACATTTACATATTATGCATATAAAAATAAATATAGGGGAAGAAGCATCCGATTATTTGCTAAATCTAAGTCCTTACGAAATGAAAATGATTTTGTACAACATTTTGAGTGGGCGCGAGTTTAATATAGGTTTATAAAAAAATTATATTATAAATATATTTTTTTTAAAGTAAATTATTTTATAAATTTCTATCATATTACAAACACTATAAAAATTAAAAACTATATAATACAATTTTATATTGAGTCCCCAAAAAGGAACCATAATTATGTCTAAAAATTTTTACTTGAATTTTTTAATTAAAAAAATTTATACAATCGATTTTAAAATGATTTGCTTGACAGTATTATTTAATAATTTCTCCCTCGGTAATTTTGTCTTTTTAAATATAGAGAAAATAATTCAATATTTTTCAGGATCCACTTGGGTTCCCGAGAAAGATGGCACAGTTTCTATTAAAGAACCTCGCAACATTGATGACTTTAAAATGTCTATGAAAAAGGTATACATTGTTTTCATTAACACATGATCAATCTTTTCAATGAAATAAATAAACGATATTAAGACAAAAATTCCATAAAAATGCAAATATTAGGAACATCCCCCTAGTTTTAATTTGTTAAGTTGATGTTGTAAATTCAAGTAGTTCATAGGTTCTGGACTTAGGAGACAACTTCTTAGACGAAGTTCCAGATTAATTAAAAAAAGAGTTTAATAAAATTTGGTCGTTGTTTAGTAAAATCTTATGCACTTCCCCCCCCCCCCCCCCATTTCGAAAAAATTTTTATGGGGTATTTTTGTCTTTCAAAATCTTCAGAATATGTCCGGGAATCAGGGAAAATTTTATTAGCCCTTTCAAATTATTCTTTAAAGCCGAGACAACAAATTAATTATCAATACACCTTTTTTTACTTCCATTTTATGATGTTAAATGACTTTTGACCCTTATTTGAGTAGTTAAGAGAGGGAGGGGGGGGGTGATTATATTATAGAAAGTAATCACTATCTAAAGTAGAAATGTAAGTAGTGGCAAAATGTAAATTACTGGACTAAGGCACTCTAACAAATCTTTTTTGACAGCATTTCATTATAATTGAGATGATTATATCCTGGGCCGTGCCAAGACTTTTGGTTGGCAGGAGAGAAAATGAAGACCCCTAATTCCCTAATTAAAAAATCGTAAAATAAAAAATGGGGATTCGTGAATGAGCAGCTTGGAAAAATGATGAAAAATATACGCGTAAAAAATAGTTAACAAATTTTTTTTTATTATAAAATTCATAATCATATATAAGATTATGACAATGATAATAAAAATAATTATTTTTAAAAAAATTTTAACAAAATCTAATCGTAAACATCTGAATCAAGGGAATTCCTATTCCTCAGACAGAACACACAACTCAATATTTTTAAATTTAACTATTGTTCCTTTTTAGGAACTCAATTATGTTTTTCCTAAAATTAATGTTAAAATTGAATGAAAACTTTTAATAAACGAGCTCTTCTTAAAAAAAAGAAATAAAAGAATTTTTCATTCAAAATTTGTTTAGAATAAATGAAACGCCGCTCACCATATTTTTTCGAAAAAAACAGTTTTTTTACTTACTACCCCATATAATTTGAACGTTGTAAGCACAACTTAGTAATATTTACAAAAAAATTTAAATTACAATTTACTTTTATTGCATTGAACAAAATTTGGCCTATAAATTATTGTAGCAGTATTAGCGTTGGGGGTTCATTTAAAATGGAATAAGCTAGGCCCTCAATAAAGTTTTTGAAGATTTTGAGGTAATATTTGATGATTTTAATCTTTAGAGATTTTTATTTTGATTATAACTTCTTTTTTTTAAATGAATGAATAAGCCTTTACATTTTCATAAGGTTATATACGCTACTCATTTGGGTTTATAATAAAAAAGTATTTTTTAAATATTATTCGCAGAGAATTAGCAGTCGCATAGGCGCATTAACTGATGCTAAAGATCCTAACAAAGTTGAGATTCCTTTGCACGGGCAATGGTTAAGAAGGCGTAGACTCGATGGCTCCCTGAATAGAGTTCCTGTCAATTTTTATCCAAATATTTGGTCAATATTAGAAAAAGTAAGCTTATTAATAGTAAAAATATCAAATAAATTTTGTTTTTGTTTACAAACTTACATCATATTAAGGACTATTAATTAAATTAGCGTTCCTTTTAATTATAATTTATATTTCATCATTTTGATAAGAAGAGGAAAAAATGAATTTGTAGGCCCTCAAAATGTTAAATTTTTATTTATTATTTACAAGTGCCATACGTTGCAGGTAGCCGGAAAATTGATCGATAGTAATCTCACCAATGAGGTCGAATATTATCTATATATTAATTATATTTACATCTCGGCGAAAACTAAGTTTCATCTATCACTGTCCTTTTAAAAACCAATTCATTTTCATTTTATAAATTGTATTTTAAAATTAATACATTTTCAAAAAATTAATTGTTTACATTTTTTAACTATGCCTGACTCTGGAAACAGAATTCTTTTCATCTTCATGTCCTCTTCTTTTTTCAAATATTCATTCCCGAATAGTTTAAAAAAATCAATTGAACTGAATATGTTTTATTTATTTATTTACACTTTAAAGATGACGCCAGAAGAAATGAAATTTTCTCTCCACATAGAATCCATTATTAACCTCTTACCCCATCCAGAATACCGGCAATTGATAGTTGAGGGTTTATCCTCTCTCATAGCTCTAACCGATGCGCAATTACGCGTTACATTTCCCAATGTTATCGATATGGATAAAATTGTCCAAAAAGCTAATCAAATATTTTTGAACGATCAGGTAAATTTAATTATTAATAAGCTAACAGTCCATATCTCTTTCTAAAAGAAGAGAATAAGTATCTACCATAGTTATTAGGTTAATGAATAAATGAATTGATATGGGATACTTACTATTAAGTTTTATTTTTAAAAAAAAAGATAAATTAATAATTTTTGTATTTCCGCAAAATATTTTTTTGTTAAAAGAAAAAAGTAGACGGGGATGCGACTCTATGTTGCGCTGGTTCCAAGCCCTTGTCATGCGGGGGAGTTGAGGGTATATGCCAGATATTTTACGATTCCGCTCCTAGTGGCAAATATGGAACCATAAGTTACATGTGCAGATCCCTGGCCGGTATTATAAAGATAGAACTTTTGGACGAAAAATCTCAATGCCACGTCAATTAAATAAATAATAAAAAAAGATGTACCTTTTTTAAAAACTACCTCTAAATTGGATCGTTTTTTGTTTCGAAAAAATAAATCAAAATTTCCCCCATTTTTTAAGAAAATCTCTTATTTATCTTAGGATTCTGTTTAACAAGTACATATATTTTAAAGAAATTTTCTTCGTTTTACAGTTTAGTTTATGTATATTTTAAAAATTTTTTTAATACCCTGCATTATTAAAAGTTTATTATCTTATTATATCAAGTATCTTATTTACTATTTTATTTTTAAAATGTTTTAAAAAATCATTATATTTTTCCCGCTCTTTTTTACATGTGCTGCATTAAAATATAATAATTGTTGTAAGTAAATTGTCAAAAAATAATATTTTTTTAAAATTATTTTTATTATCGATATTTTTATATAGTATTATAATATAAATAATATTTGTTATAAATATTTGACAAAAAAAACATTTAATAAAGCTATATACATTTATCATTAAACAACCGATGCGACGTAGTGATATAAAAAAAAATTTAGATAATTTATAGTACGCGATCTCTTGACTTGATATTTCATTTGACGCTTCCTTAAGGGGAGTTAAGTGGGTGGAATGGTGGATCTTATAGCCTCTTTTGGTTGGAAATGTTAGGTTTTGAGTAAATAAACGACTTCTAAACTCCCCCCCCCACACTTTTAATTTATAATAATTTGTTTATTTTCCGAAAATTACGACCAAAAAGTAAATTTGAATCGATCGATTTTATTTTTACGAATGTCCACAATCACAACAAAACACGACGGACCTTTCTTCGAATAGCCATTCCTCCATGAATTCTTTTTGTAACTTACCATCGCCGAGGAAAGAATTGTAAAAATTTTGCATAACCCCTTTATTTTCTATCGCTAGCTTGTATTGGTTTTCATATTGAATCTCGTCACTGGTCGAATCTATGCAGGAATACCCAGCCTTTTCTTTTCTTCTTCTTTTGAGTATTTTTACGGTGAACGCCCTAGGAACGCAATTGTAAAAGGAGTAAAAGCATTTTTTGGTAATGCACTCGATAGTTCTCAGGTATCGGGGAAAGTGGTCAGGGCCCAAGTCCTTCCAAATCTCTTTGGATTCGCACTTCCAAGGCTTGAAATTTTCACTTTTGGGTGAAGAAAATATGGGTGAGTGTTTGGAGTTTTTTCTTTGTGTTTTGTGAGCTGGTTGATAATACGAACGCTTGTTTCGCTGATTAATATGACTCGTCGATTTGTTGTTGTAGATGGTCAAAGATAAAGATTGAGCTAACTTCGAATAAGATATTATCGTTGAATTGATTCGGGTCTTTCTATGGGTCGTTTTGGAGAAGGTGCGGGGGATTTCTCTTTTGATTTCTTTCTTATTGGCAACGTGAACAAGCTCCTTTGTATAATGTGGGCCCACTGCGAAAGGTAAAATTTCATCTGATAACGTGTACTCTTCGTCGTTTATAAAGCCTTTGAACTCTGGTATTATAGAACGTGTGCTAGGATTTAATTGAATTTGCGAGTACATAGATGGTCTACTGATTGACATGTAACGAGCGTTGAAAGCATTGCCCAGCATTATGGTTAGATCTATCGTGGAAGTCGTTTGACAAAAAACCTTTTTGGGGACGATCAGATCTGGTTGTAATGTGGGTTTTTCAGCATATCTTACCACCCTTTTTAAACCTAATTTTTCTAACAAAAATTCTTTTAATGGGTCTATTGGTTCTCTCTCTGTTTTCGCATGCTTTTTATGATGTATTCTATGCGTTTGATAAATTTGAGGAAAGATTTGAGGAGTACAGGTTTTGAGTAAGATCATTAAAAGGACCAACAACGAATTTATTCTCCCGCGCTGAAAGACTATTATACCTAAGGAGCTAATTGTAAGACGCATTATTTTGTCTTATTATATTATTTATCGAACCTAGCTTTGGTGACCTGCAAATAATTTTTTAAAAAAAATAACTCAAATTATAATTTTAAATCCTCATATAGACAGTGGCATTGCTTGGTATGGGAAAAAAAGTGACCCACAGCATAGTAAAAAAAAATTTAATAAGCGAGCGGGTAACAAAAATTAAAACAATAACCGGGTGGGGTTTTAAATCTTTTGAAGCGAGATGGGTATGAGTGACCAACCTACATTTAATTTTTTTTTAAATTAATTATCTTATAATAAGTATAAAGCAAGTTCTCTTAATATTAATACTTGAACAAAATGAAATAATATATTCAGATAAAATAATGGATGACCAGAGCATAGACGTAAGATAAAAATTAAATCAATATTTTTAATAACTCCAAAACGGTATATAATAAAACTTTGTTAAATCTAATTTTTATTATTATAATCACGATAATATTTACCTGTATTAATTTAATATTTTATAATACTGGGTAGAATATCAAGGCTATGGTATAAAATAGAATGATAAATGAATAAGAAGCGGTAGTTTTTGAATCATTTTTTTCTTGTCTTTTCGAGTAGGATTGTGAAATGTGAGGTTAGAAAAAAAACTTGTAATATAAAGAATCTTCAAAAAATAGGCATATTTTAATAGGAAGGTGTTATTTTTAACAGATTGATATCAAATCAAATATTACAAAAAAATTTTAATAATTATTTTTGGGTAAAGAAATTGACCATCATAAAATATGAAAAAAATTATGTAAATGATAAAAATTGAATGGCTATTTATCTTTTTTTTAATATAACTTATTGTGTCTTTGTACATGATAATGATTAAGAAAAAAATTGTTTTAAAAATGATATGTACATTTATACCTTTTGTATTGTTTTTAAAGCCTTGTTTTTTTTCAAGTAATGAGGTGTAAAATGTTTGCAAAAATTGTTACCTTAATAATAATTTATCAACCGTTTTTATACAACAATTAATTATAAATAATTATCTCTACATTGTTCTTGCTTATTTAGCGTAGCAAAGGCATTATCATTTTTATTTTCTTTCAAAAATGTAATGTCTTACTGGCACCTTAACTCTGATACTTTCTGGATAATTTTATTTTAACTTTTAAACTTATTAAACACCATTTTGGGAATTAATTTTTTTTAAATCAACCTCAAAAAATTTGATAATTATATAAATATTGCAAAATAATTTATTAGTAATATATTGATTATAATTTGTCATAAATAAACGATATCATTTTTATTTCACACATTTACCCATATTTTCGAAGATATAAATTAAAATAAGTGATTATTTATAAATAAGATAATTAGGGATTGTTCTTGACGTGAGGAGCTGAACGCGCTTGGTGGGAAGTTTAGAAAGCTTGTGGATTAAGTTTACGATTTCTACTCTGATCTTTGCTCATCTTACGAATTAAATGACTGATTTTTTTAGATCCATTTTTTTTGTAAAAAAACAAACCCAAATTTTGACGCGTTTTATTATTTTTTTTAAAAAATCTTTTATACGTAAAAAGGTTTTGTCAATTTAGGAGTTAAAAATTTGGTAACGAATTTATGCGGTATTTTATTAACGAAAATCAGCGATAAAATGTACGTTTGATTGACAAATTTGCGGATGTTTGACTTATGTCCGGTGGGCTGGTTATTTTTCTTTCCATTTTCTACATCGGCGGGTTGAAAAGCTATTTGAACGTTCGGTTCCTTGTATCTTACCAATATCCATAAATAAAAAGTTATGATGATCAAGGATATCGTTAAAAAAACTATAACACAGGCCTCCATAATAATATCTCTTTTTAGTTTTTTGAAACTGGTGTTAGGCGATAAAGTATTGCTATATAAACTTCTCTTACGATTAGTAGATGTTTCAATTTTTAAGATGTCATCCATCAATTTTGAAGAATGATGGTTGCCATTTTCGATCACGTTTGATAATGACTTTTCGATTAATTTATAGCGATTTATATCCAAGGCTAATAAACCAGTTTCTGTTACAGCTACAATTAAGTACTTAGGATTTCGGCGCTTTACCTTTCCCTTTTCGCAATACTCGTTTAGCGTTGTCTTTGATCATAAATAAATAAAAATAGTTTTGTGTTAAAATAATTATAAACATTGATATATGAGGGGAATCCCCCCCCCCTCCTTAGCAAGTTTGCCAGATTTCGTAAATATCATTTTAGCTAATAAAAATTATCCTTCTGCATCCCATCAGGCTACCTTCCCAAAAAATTAGTATATAATATTATTATTAAAATGTTTAAAAGTTTTTTAAAAAAAATTAGGTAAATTATATTTTTAATTAAATCCTGCCAAAAGCCTCCAAAAAATTGGGCCTAAATCTTTCAATAAAAGTTATGGTAAAATAGAAAACTCAAAGGTTCTTCCACTTTACTAAATCTTAGATATTACTATGAGGATAAATGATAATATTTGATTTACAAATTCTATTTTTTTTTAAAATAAAAAAACCTGTACAAGTTCTTCCCATTTTTTGAAACTTCTTCGAAACACAACGTAGACTATGGATCCTGCTGATTCCTCTATGAGATTCCAGTGAAAGCAGAGTGAATTATGATGAGAATATTTCTTAATTTCGAATTCAATTTTTAAAATATCATTTTTGTAAGCCCGTCCATCTACAAATCTTAACGGATTTAATTTAGGGTTTCTTGATACGAAATTACAAGATGTTTGGCAACCAGAGAACTGTAAAAATAAATAGTCATTAAAAAAAGGTAAAGGAATAAATTTTGTTTCAAATTTTTTTTGAAAAAAATATTAAACAATAATCTTACGCAAATAGATGACTCTATGCAGACATTTTCCCATATAGGTTGAATGTATAACATTTCACACAAATCCCAGCACTAAATTAACAAAATAAATATCAAGACGTTAGTTATATTTCATTCAGGTAAAAATGGCTTATGTCAAAAAATCTTACCATCATCATATTATTCTGATATGTGTCGTTGCCAATACTCGGATAAAACTATATTCATTTATGTTAAAAAAAAATAAATCATATTATACTATAAAATTAACAGAGGTAGAATTAATTATTATATATATTAATGTTTTTTATAATTTTTAAATTTTACAAAAATTATCAATAAAAAATAAAATTACCTGATTCAAGCAATGAGTGCGACATCTGCCAATATTAATGCGATTTACGTCTGTGTTGCGAAAGAGAAATTTGTTAGTTTTAGGATTTTTGAATTTTTTATCCTTGCAAATAATGGATTTTGGAAGTGATAGGAGAAGGATGATCGATGATATAACGAATAGGCCAAAACGAATTCTAGAATTCATAATTCTTTTTAAATAAAATTTTTTTCAGGCTTTTAAGAAAGTATATATATTTTATTAAATTTTTTTTTCGATAATTTTCTTTAGAAATATAAAGATTTTTGAAAAAGTCGTTGCCGAATTAAGAAATAAAATTATTTTTTCTTATGTATATGTTAAAAAATTGATTTTTGTGACACAGTCGTGTGACATTTTTTGTTTAGTTTAATAAAAGGGTATACTATATAAAGTTTTAATGTTTCCGGGAAAAAAATGAATAAACAATTTAAATATTTTTTAATTGTCCAGTTTTTTATAGGTATACTTATTTTTTGTTACCTTTTTTACATTTAGATGAAAAGTAAAAGTTAACCGGATATTCATCACTTAATAAAAAAAATACTTTAAATTCCAGAATTAGTTCAATCGATTGGTCCAAAATGATAAAAGAATGATGATAAGAAATTTTGAATAAGGATTTTTGATAACTATTTTTTTTAAAGATTAGTAAATTTTTACTAAAAAAATAAATATTTATTGTGGCAAAATTGAAAAATATGGTCCAACTATATTTATCATAAAGAGTAAACAAATGTCCTAGTTTTTGCAGTGTGATTTAAATAGCTTAAAACCATAATATTCTTTTTTTACATTACAGTAACATATTCGAAAATACTATACAAGATTATTATAAGATGGCATGTGTTTTTTGTAATGATTTTCATTAAAAAAAAGAAAATTTTATATGTAATAATTGTAATTTTATATGGAAAGACATTGAATAAAACCACATTTTAAAATTTTTAGAACAGGTAATAAAGTAAGAAAACAAGTAAAGATTAAGAACAGGACAGGTATTTTTCAATTGACGATATTTTAATCCATGTAAACGTGTTTTTTCAATGTTTTTTTTAAATGAAAATAAAGATAATGAAATTAAATTATATACTTAAGGTCAAATAATTACCTTAAATAAATGTATTTTTCATCGATAATATGTAAATGCAGGTAACCAGTCCAAGAGATGATCAAATCATATATAGAGTATAAGGTATCAAACAAAATTAAATCTATAATAAATAGTTGAAAGGGTTATCATAATTTTAAATTTTTATTTATAAATCATAAAAGAAATTTTTTAATGAATAATCTTATTTATTCTGATTTTTATCTAATTAGTAATCTTTATTTTTTTTGTCATACTTCCTTTTGGCAAACATCCCATTCACTCTTAAATCTTAGGCCTTAGAAACAGTGGAGTCTTTAAGGGGGAAAGAAGCTTTGCAAGTAACTATAAAATAAAATTTAGGTATAATTTTAAAAAAAATTCGAAATATTTTGTTGGAAGCAGCTTCGACTCCCCTCAAACTCGATGAAATATCACATCTCCCAGGAGAGACCGGGATTGGAAGATGCCGATAAGTTGAAGGCCAATAAAATTAAAGCTAAAGGATTTATTATCTATTGCTCTTGTTTAATCCCGAGCATATTTAAATACTAATCGTGAAATAGTGCATCATTAATATTGATTCGTTTTTATTTGTAAATAGTTTGCTATTCTTGTGAATAATAAAATTCGTAATTGAACTATTCGAATAAATTGTTTTATTAAATAATTATTAAAAAATATTATATAATAAATGACCAGATTTGTTAAAGTAGCGCGCTAGCATAGAACGCTATCTTTTTTTGGTAGCTATAGCTAATAGCGCGATACTTTTTAAAAAATAGGCTTCAGTTATAACGCGCTATTTTTTTAAAATATAACTTTAAACATGAAAATTAAAATATAATTTCATTATGAATTATAATTTTAGTTTTTATTATTTTATTTTGAATTTGTAAACCCAAATCAACTAGTATAAATTATCAAAATTGTGGAAGCAAAGGATATCGATGTAAAACCGTGTGAGTCAAATTCAGATGAGAATATTAATGAAGAAGTTACACAAGACGAAAATGGAATTTTTGAAAAGTTTCCATTTCCAAAATTTCAAATGCATTTTAATAAGTATGAAAAATCAAAATCGGGCTATAAATTCATGATTAAATTGTAAAAAAAAATATCTTTTAATAATTCGATACAACCTTAAAAAACATCTATAAAGGAAATTTTATTTTTAAATTCTATTCATATTTTATTTTAAGAGTACTCGTACAAATTTTTTCAAAGAGATTAATATATAAATACTTTTAGTTTAATTTATAAAATGTTGATTTTTTTTATATATCATAACCAAAAATAAAAAAAGATTTCTTAGTAATTTTTTTTTTAAAGTAGCGATAGTTAATTACACGCTATTTGATTTTGACGGGTTTAGCGGTAGCGCGCTACCTTTATTTGGCAAATAGCTGTATCGGTCGCTGTATATGACTTATACAACATAAAATAAAATAAAATTCATTACACATAAATTATATCAATTTTTCAATAATCCAATCATAAAAAATATTACTTCCTAATAAAACTTTAACTCCTAATATTATTATCCTTAGTTAATGATTTTATCACAGAATAATTAGTCAAGGATCCGAATCATACCGTGTAGGTTCGGTTCAAGTTAAGGTTCAGATAAGAATAACAGTTCAGACCCAGTTATTAAAGAAATTATAATATTATTTAATTTTGAAAAAAAAAACGTGACACTTTTTACACACAAACTTATTAGAATTATATTTTTTTAAATTTTAGCGCTCATCCTAAAATAATTATATTAAGCTTATAAGATTAAAATCAGAGTTGTTAAAGTAGCGCGCTACTTAGCGTGCTATCTTTTTTGGTAGCTATTGCTAATAGCCGCTACTTTTTTTAAAATTATTTAATTTTTTAGCGCGCTACTTCACTACTTTTAAAAAATATAATAAATGTAAGTATAAACATGAAAATTTAAATATAATATCATAATTAATTATAATTTTTATAATTTATTATTTAATTTTGAAATTTAAATATATTTTCAATTTTTAATTTATATTTTCAATCTGTGTTAATAATCTAAAATGGCATCGCCCATGGATAACCAGATCCTTGAAAGTGATTCAGACATGGAAGATTCAATGGAAGAAAATGTACTTAATAGCTCTAATAACGATTTCCCATTCCCTAGATTTGAAAAAAATTTTAAAATAAATATTAAAACAAAATCTGGATTTAAATTCCTGTGCTTAAAATGTAAAAAAAATATATCATCAAATCAATCGAGTAGCTATAACCTGAAGAAACACCTAATGGTAAATTGTTATTTTTACATTATAATATTATTTATTTTATTAGACTGTTCACGCTAATTGCTATAAGGAAATAGAGAAACATATAAAAAATTTTGGTATAAGAGAATCTTCATTCAAAAATACAAATACTATCCAAACCAAATTAACTGATAATAAACATGCCAATATTTCACAAAAATTGGCTGATAAAGTAATTGTTGATTTTATTATTGACACAGTTCAGCCATTGTCCTTGGTTGATAATCCATCATTTACTATGATGATTAAAACTTTATCCCCTGGCACAACAGTTTTATGTCGCCAGACACTTATGAATAAAATAGCCGACAACTTCAAAGTGATGAAAGATGCTCTAATAGTAGAGTTATCAGATATATCTTATGTATGTACACCGGCAGATAGTTGGACACATAACAGAAGGTAAAAACTTATTTATATTTATAAATTGATCTGATTAAATATTTTTAGAGCTTCCTTGCCCTCAAGTGCTAGTGTCGAGAGATTATTTAGTAAAGCAAAGCTTATACTTTCTGATCGTCGCTCTAGACTTGGGGATGATAATATTAAAATATTATTATTAAAATGCAACAAATTAAAATAAATATTTATTTATATTGCTTATTTTTTTATAATCTAAACTAAGTATATTTTTATATTTATAAATGTTGATTTTTATATATTATTTATTATACATTTACATTATAAGCAAAAAATAAATAAAAAAAATTTGTTTCATTTGTTTCTGATTTTTTTTATAAAAATTAGCTTAAAAGTAGCTAATAGCGCGCTACTTTTTTTGACAAATAGCTATAGCGGTAGCGCGCTACTTTTAAAAATAGCGTTTAACAACTCTGATTAAAATATTCTTTTTCTTATGTCAAATTATATTTATAAGGTAATAACACTGACTGGAATATCTAAAAATAAGTGTTGATATTGATCACTAAAAACTGATTTAGTGTTATCTAAAATGATAAAATTTTAAAAATTCCTGGCCTGGCCATAAAATAACAAAAATTTAAAATAAGGGCCAGACTTTAAATAAAATACTCATGATTGGCTAAAAATATCGGTTTCCCCAAATCCAAAAAAATTTTGATCTCCACAAAATCTTTGTTAAATTCATATCAAAAGCAATTAAAGAAGCCGAAATAGCTGTAATATTATTATTTACAATTGATAAATTTCAATCTCTTACACCAGTAGAGAAAGTGTATCATTTTAGTGTAATTATTTCTTAGGAGAATTTTGTGACTAGTGAAATAAATATAACGATGAAATGAATGGGGGGAAATAATTTTTGCGCCATAGTAACGCCAACGAGTAACGCATACTTTGGTAACTGGTTTTAAGTTTCCATTTTTATGAAATTCATTACCTTGGTTAAGGTGGTTGGCTCTAATTAATTGTTTTGTTAAATTTTTTTAAATAATTGCCTATTTTATGGAATATTGTCAATTTCTATTATTTACACTTATAAAATTTTCTTAGAAAGAAAGGAGGACTGAATATAGATCAGATATTATGGTTCCAATTATAGAATTTTTGCCCATTTTGTCGGTTGTTGACTTATTCCAACTTCCAAGATCTACAGAAAATATAAATAAATAGGATTAAATAAGAACATCTTAATAATACCATATTCATACCTATTTTTTCAGACGGCAAACTAATTTGGGAAAAGTCGATATTAATAAGGGAAAAATAATTAAGTTTTTTTTATAAAAAAATTTTATATATTATATATTTATAAATGTGTATTATTTATTAGTAAATAAAAATGTCAATAAAAAAATTATATTTTTAAAAAAATTATGATACCGTTTTTTTATTTTTGTTTAAATCGTCACCATGATGGCTTAAACGCTGATTGTGAAATCACTATAATCTTTTACCAGGGTTTGATGGTGAAACCAGTTGACGTTATGCTAGGCATTTCTGAGCTACTGAGTATGCTAATTTGCGCAGATCAGAAGCCAGGGTATGCTTTAGAGATCTGTTAATATATAAATATATAAAAATGGGTTTAATGCATTGAGCAAGAAAATAAGATGGAATACTATTGCAAAAAAAGATTTAAAAGTTCGGATACTTTCATTTCAAAGGCGTTGTCGGATGGGTGTTCTCTTTAAAATAGTGACTAATTCAAAAAAAAAATTAAAAATCAAAATGATTATTTAAAAAATGTAATTTAGCCAAAGTTCTGCAACATGTAGGTGGTCTCCAATAAAATTTATGGGGGAAAACCTAATAGTGACCCCACTCCACCCCCCACCCAACATCCCTTTTGCAAAATTTTAGTTAAACCTATGAATTATGTCCAGCTTGTTTGGCAAATTAGATATTTTCTTTTCGCGATATTACTTAAATTAGGATTTTATTGATTATGTACTTATACATAATTTGGTATCTCAACTTTGATCAGGTTATTAGAAACTAAATATAGGTTGAGATACAATATCTGAAAATCAGCGTCTACATGACAGGATGGATATTTAAGTCATTCTTTTAAAAATTTATAAAGGGATAACTATTATAATTAAACCTCTCAAAAACCTATGCCTACTTAAAAAATTTAGTCTCCTTCGGGGCGATATTTTTATATTATTAATTATAATAGTTATCCCTTCATAAATTTTTAAAAGAATGACTTAAATTATTTTAACTCTACTACTAATTATCCAAAATATTGTAAATATAAAAGAGTTATTTTTTAGATCATGAATTCAATTTAAAAATCCCCTCATTTACAATGAATGCATTATTATAATATATTGTTTGGCATGAATATGAGTTTGCTGAGAATGTCTAAACCATTTATGAAAAATAATGTATATGATTGCCTGCAATATATAGATTTGGTCAATGATTAGCAATATCATTGTATTATAATAGTATTAATTTTTACAGCAATATATTTTTCCCTATCATCAAAATTTAATAGATAACCTCCCAATAAATTTATCTGACCCCCTTAAGCGCCTACCCCCTATACCCCTCAAAAAATTATATGCAAACTGTTTCTACCACCCTCCCCTCACTCATTTAGACGCTGCCGAAAACAAGGGTTTAATCTGTAATCAATTCCTGAAACTCATTTCCTCTCTATGCTATAACATCACACTCTTCATACCTTGTCCAATCAGTTATGTATGTTTAAAATGATATTTTCTCCATGTTTATAGTATCGTTTGAATATTTCATGGACGCCAAAATATATGATAGCTCAAAAATTATCATGGATCATGAGTTTAAAATCTATCAATCATATCCTGAAAGATATGCAAATACACAATATTAAATAGATTAATCCACTAAAATTATACTTGTGTTGACTTATGATAATTGCCTGATGTTTAAATAAACAGATTGTGTGTTGAATTAAATTTCATCCATTCTATTTTTAAATGCCCATAGTTGTAGATATATATATAAATCTATATTTGATTCATTACGCATCACTTCCCTTAACTTTCTATCACATTATAAGACATTGGCCATAAAATGATTTAGATATTGTTGCTTTAAAATCATGGAATTACATGATCGCCCCTGAAATCTAACCTCCAAGCTACCTGGGGCCTTTGAATTTGTTAGATATTCTAATGATCTTTTATTGTTTTAATTTGACAAATTATTTTTATTTGAATAAATTACAAAATATTTTTAAAAAAAATAATATTTAGGCCATTGCAACAGAATTCAATCCATGCAGCAGGATAATTTATTATGAAACATGAAACATCAGCCTTCCATTTATTCATGCAACTGTATAATGATAATATTAAATAATAGTTGCCAGATTGAGATTAATATCTCCCATGTTTTAGTTCTTAATACATTGAGGTGGGAATATAAAACTTCTATTTAAAAATTATAAAAGCTGTTCTCCTTAGTGTTTACGTTTTTATAACCCAGGGTAAACCTGTAAATTGTAAGATGTGTTATTTTATTATGAAAATATTGGGCACAGAGATAGGTCAACCCAAATAAAATACCTAATGGGAAGCCAAATTATTTCCAAAATTTATCTCTAATAATAACCATAGTAGGAAAAATTTATACGGGACCATTCCAGAAAATTTATGTTTTAAAAGGCATTCCAAACGCGCAGCAGGCGCAAAATATTTAAATATTCTTTCTTCTAGAAATGATATCAATTTTATGCAAAATCTAAAAACTACTCTTCCATCAGAAATGGGCTTAAGAATAAATTGTTTGATTTCTACGACTCCTGTAAACATCATAATGTCTTTTAATGTTTCATTAACTATTTAATCAGACAAATGTTAAATAAAAATTTTATTTTTAAAATAATGCATGAATTAATAACGTAATATATAATTTATGTGCTCTGTTAAATCATTCTAAAATATTCTTAATGAATAATCTACCCTAAATAATAATTAATCATAACCCATATCAGGCTCGCCTCTTACCTTTTTTGTAATTTTTAATCCAAATTCCAAAATTCATAGTAGACAAATTTTGTTAGAATTGGTCAGCAATCATTAATGTGGGGTTGGGGTGGAGTGGGGGGCAATATTATATGTGTTTTTAGGGTTTATATATTATTGGAGGTCTTTCGGTCTACTTATTATAGACTTTTGGGTATGTTGTACATTATCAATAATTATTTTTTAATTTTTATTTAAGTATAATGTTTACGTGAGGGGAGGGGGGGGGGGAGTATAGCTTAGAATGATATTTAATTTACACTAGAACAGACAAATTTTTATGAGAATGGGGATTTCCCACCACTTGGTTACGCCCCTGCAACAGGCGTCCTTATGGTGTCAATGGATATATAGGCGGGCTGATTCCCTTTTGTTCAGATTTCATGATATATAATCAAAACTTTATTACCGGTATCATAATTAAAATTTACCACATTACCTTTGGTCCAGATGTCATTATTTGATTATCCAGACGAATGATATGATATTAAGAAATGGCAGGTTTTCCAACATTTGGGCAAGACACCTTTATTGCTGGGCACCTATCTTTAGAAAATTGCTATTATCAATACGCCTATCAAGACACCTTTTGTTGTTTCCAGAATTCGTATGGAGTCGTTACTTTATAAAATCCTGATGTATATTATATATTCTATAAATATTTTTTTAAATTTGCACATAATTTTAACAGATTCATCATTTAAAAAATAAATTAGCATTTTGGGATTATTTATTCTGAAAAAAGTTTCAATCTCATTCATATTATCATTGGAGTTCGGATCTGAATATGGTCGATCAAGGATAGTTTTATAAATAAATAATAATAAGCCTATCTTTTAGCTTATTTTTTGCCAGATTAATATATTGCAAGTTAATCTTGCTTGATACTTGGTTGGATTATTAATTTTATGTTCAAAATTATTATAAATAGTGATATTATTTATTTATTTTTTAAAAAGAACATTATTAAAAGTTTTTAGTTTTTATGATAAAATTATATTCGATTTTTGTAAATTATTTTCTTTTGATAATGTATTAATTTAATAAAATGTTTTATATGATAAATATAATTAATTTAGTCATATAATTCTTTAAATTCTTTGTTGCTAACCCATGTCATATATTACATATATAACAAATTTTTTTTGTAAATTAAAATTATCTAATAAGAATAAATAATTTTGATTAAAAGTTTAGTATTATAAATGAAGGATTTTTGTTTATAAACCTTCAAAAATCTTTCTTAAAGTTACAGCTATCTATTTAAAATTTCATAAACAGCTGATAAGCGTTTTTAAAAGTAAATTTTTTTAAACAATTTTTAAAATCATTCATTAATATTTAAGTTTATATTTAAATGTTTACATGAATATTATACATTATATATTTAAAATACAGTATATTAGACATTCCTAGATAATTAGTATAATGTTATTGCTAAAAAATATATTTATACAAGGTTATAAATTTACATTTTTTAATAGTTAAGATAAGTAAGCTGACATAATGCCCACAGCACTATAGCAGGACATCTTTTGATATTTTTTCATGGACATTATGCCCCATCGTGATCTAATTATATTCTAGATCCATCCTACATTCAACTTGTAAGGTTTAGAATTAAAAAATATTATTTAGAGAATTTAAAAAATTAATTTTATGTTTATGTATTTCTGATGAAATGCTAGTTAATTATTTTTTTACTAATCATTTAATCAGTATAATAAGTGATAATTATTCCTAATCATTAAATTTATATAAATTATTAAATTTGTTAGTTTATTTAAAACTTTGTTAAGAATTTGAGAAATTACAAACAATTTAAGATTTAACAAGATTTATACTGTTCAAGAATACATGTTAATACTGTCGTCTATTTTAACAATACAGAAGATGACAACTTACATAGTTTTTCAAAATTAAATATATTAGATTAATGTCATCAGTGGTATTAAACATTTAGCTATGATCAATCAACCTAGAGCATACTATTCTCTAAACTTGATATATCACAGTTCAATAATTTTGCTATATAACTCCATACATTAATTATTCAATTACTATACTTGGCAATCATTTTAAATTTGATGCAATAAAGTTTATATTTGATTTTATTATGCATATTTGGTAGGGATATTTTTATTTGCATTGGGGGTAGAGGGAGGGGGCTATTATATGGTGTTATTTTCAACATTCTTTTTTGCCTTTTAATTTTATTTGTAAATTTTTTAGTGAATTTTTTGAGAACTCTCAAAGTTAGAGTGACATCTAAGAAATTTATAAACCCAATTTCTCAAAGTTATGTTCCGATAATTTTACACAGATCATATTGTTCCAAATTTGAAAAAGTGAATTTATAATTACAAATAAAAACATAAAATACTAGGGCTCGAACCAAAAACAAATTTTGCTAATCAAATAGCAAAACAATAAAAGTTTTTTTTGAAAGAAGAAAATTATACCAAAAAATTAGCATAATGAAAACATAGGTTTATAGTTTAGTTGTTTAATTTTCTTATTAAATTTTTTCATAAAATAAAATAGGGATCTGGTTTGGTTTGAAACTTTAATAACCGGTTGAAACCTTTCAATATACAAACCAGAGATGCACCAATACCAAAGCCTATACTTTGCATTCTTAAAGATACCAAGAGCTATTTAAAAAGGCACATTTTTTAAAAATTTTATCGCTATTACCTAAATAATAATATTGAACCATGTAAAATTATAACATTTTCCAGATGCACTTCTGTCAAGTTATATCTATAAGGAGAAAAAATAAATTCGATGGTTGAGAACACTTCTCTGCAGGCCAGACAACTTGAGTAGTTTACCGTTATTAAATAAAAAAAAAATTAAAAAAATCCTAGAATTTTTGCAATAAATTATAAAAAATATTTCGTTTTTTTTACAAGTATAATATAATTTTCAAATTGTATCGAAAAGTAATTCAACTAACCTTTAGAGGGTTGAATTGTATCAGAAATGAACCGATTTTTTACTGCATTGTATCGAATACATTTGGGAAAAAATGGCATAAATTTTGACGGATCTTTTTAGAATTTGTATATATATTTATAATTTTAGAGTATCGAACAAGTGTGCCATAAAAACAAAGGCTACTTTTTTGAAAATCAAAAGGATACAAATTAAATTTGTTCAGTTGTCGAGCCCTAGGCAAATACAAAAAAATTATATTATAAATATTACATTTTTTTAGAATATGGCCATATCGGAGGAAGAATTTAAAAAGCGACTGACTCCTGAGGAATATGAAATATTGAGAAAAAAGGGGACAGAAAAGGTTTTATTAAAAAATATTCAATATTAATTTTTTATCCAATAATTATAAATTATTCAAGCCCTTTTCGGGAGATTTTTGGAATTTTTCGGCTAATGGAACTTATTCCTGTAAAGCTTGTGGAGCTAAATTATTCAAGTATATATTTTTTGCAAGTATTATTTATAAAACTTTAGAGTTTTCGACCAAAGAAAATATTATTCATATAATTTATATGGAATTGATTGTTCCCATTCACACTCGGGATATCGTCTATGAAATATTAATTTAAAAATATTAATTATAAATTAATAAATACTAATGTATTATAAAAATACTATTTATAAATACCTATAAAAAGCGCGTTTTTTTCTAAAAATTTATTTTCCAATATTTTGCTATATCATATGACGTGTAAAATTTTTAGGAAAGGTTAAAAAAAATTGAGTTTAAACAAATAATTATTTAATTTTTTTTACCTAAATAATTGATAAATTATGATACGATTTAACTTTATTCAACTTTTTATTTGTTTAAATTTTTTTTAAAATCAATTTTGATCAAAGTATCCAATATGATACATCAGGTCTTTATGTATACATTTTATGTTATAGATTTCAATATTAGCGAGATAAGTGAATTTTTAATAGCAGATTCAAAATCTGATGATGAAGATAATATCTCTTTATCATTTTTTTGGCGAAAGGTTTCACACTACATAGTTAATATAAGATTTATTGATTTTATTTTATTTCTAGATTCATTGATTTTATTTTATTTCTAGATTCAATGATATGTCAGAGAGCGATAATGTTAAGTATATTCCAATACATTCGAAAATTTAAATGAAGGAAAGGGAAGCTCTACTGATTTTATTATATATCCATCTGATAAAATAGTTTTAATATTATGTGATAGGCTACCACTTAATACCTTTATACTTTTTGATAGATATTTTAGTAGTTTACAATTAAAAGTATGCCATAGGAAACGGGGGATTTCAGGTAAAAGTAAATCGACTGCCTACCTACTAAAGTAGTATTTTCAACTGACCTATTGAGTAAGCACGCGGTTCAATTGATGTCTATATTTTATGAATCAGAACCTTGATTTCTGTCGGCAATCAAAAGAAAAGTATATTTTTAGCTATCCATATTGTATTTTGAAATATAATAAAAATATGGATTGAGTTGGTAATATAGATAAAGTATTTCCAAATTACTCAATTTAAAGTAGAATTTTAAAAAAATGGACCATTCGAGTATTTAGTTACTTCGTTGATTTTTCGGCGGCAGCAGGGCTATAATATAAAAAAGACAGAATCGAGGCAGGTTATCCCAGCAGAAATAACATGGATTATCATCAGTTCCAAATTGAATTGGTGGAATTTTTAATTCATGATAATCTATTGGATGAATCTTAAGGTTCAGAGAGTGATGAAGTGGCTTAATCCAGATCTTTAGCATTTTTTAAAAAAAATCGTTTTCGTGCAAAATTGATTAAGCTGAAGTTAGAACTATAATAATCAAGAAAATTAATTAATATTTAAGAAAAAAATTAATATCATGACTAGAGCTGTGCCGATATTAAATATCGGATCAAATCTGCACGGTTTTCAAAAAATATCGGATCGGGTCGGTACCTATAAAAAAACATCCTATTCTTTAACTTTTTTGTTATTTATGTTATATAGTTTATTTAAATTATAACATTTCAAAAGATTTTTTATTTATTTTTAAAATAATGGAAATGCACAACACTTCCTAAATTTTATTTATTTGAATTAAAATCGATAGTTGTAGATGACCTGCCATACTTGAAAGAAATCAAGGAATATCTAAAAGAATCTTTATATCTAGAAGGTATAATAACAATTTTTATCTAGTGTTAATTGGTTAGAATATGATTGACCCATTTGTTTGGGTGGTATCTGATTATTTTTCAAACCAAACAAAATGTTGGGTCTATGAAACCCACTATTTTAAAATACTTATGTCTATTTATTTAGATAACTCTAATAACATTGATATTATATCACCTATGGATCCACTTGACTATTGGAGAATTAATACTGAAAAGTATCTCTGTCAAAACTTTTTTTGACGCCTCTTGCAACAAATGTCCCATCTGAGGCTATTTACAGTACGGCAGAAGATGTAGATAGTCCACATCGTAGAAGCTTATTGCCTGAAAATATAGAGGCTCTCATATTTATTTGAAAAATAATATAATAATTTTATATATTAAATATTACAATTTTATAATTCATACCAACATACACATATTATAATATATCGGAAAAAAAAATTAAAATTAAATGCATAATTCGATATTTTGCATAGAAAATATGGATTTTTTAATTACATTTAATTCAAAGGGTGTGGTAAATCAATATAAATATCGGATCAATGAAAATATGTAGATCGACACAGCCCTTCACAGAGCCCTGCAAGGTTTGAAACCGGGCCTATAATTTCCAAAATATTTTTAAAAACCGTTGGATCGGGCCCAAAAATAAATATACCCTTGGACCGAAATAAATCGCATTTGCAGAGTTCTACTCTCATTCCATTTATTTATGACTATAAAACTACAATACAATTTATAATATTACTATTAATAGTACAATAATATATCTTTAGCTCGGAAAGCAAATTTGCTTCTCAGTGTGGTTGGCCCTCTTTTGACCAGGCCATCGGAGCCATAAAAGATTCCAACAATCCCGAATCGGCCGTGATATTCCAAGACGACTCGACTCTCGGAATGAAACGCACTGAAGTTATGTGCAAAAAGGTAATATATTATTGCGATTAAATTCGCATATACTTGATGTACAAACCCATAAACTTATAATATAACAAAAAAAATTAATATTAAATTTGGTGAATATATTTTATATGATTTTGTAGTGTGGGTCTCATTTAGGCCATATTTTTGACGATGGCCCTACGGAAACGGGTGCTCGTTACTGCATAAATAGCAAATGTCTAAATTTCCATAAAAAATAAGCAAGATCGGCATCTTGTATCTTGTCAATTCAAAATAAATAAAATTAAATCTTCGTATTCGGCTACCGGTTAAATTGGCTACTTTATTTCAAACCTTTTATATTGTAAATATTTTATTCAGATATATTATTTTTTTGTAAATCATCGCAACAATATACTATTTATTTATAATTTACTGTCTTTTCAATTAAACAGAATAATATACTATTTATTTATAATTTACTGTCTTTTCAATTAAACAGAATAATAGACTTTATAGTTACACACAATACTATTTATATTTTTATAATTATTAGTAAAATGATTAAGTATTTGATGGTTTTGTGTGATTTTCGATATCTTTCACTAGAGGAATTTCGTGTATAGTTATTATTGATGCCTGGTTCCCCTTTTCTTCCTTTAGTTTCATCTCTTTTTTCCTTTGCTGTAATTTTTCGAATTGTACTTTATATTCTCTTATTGTAAAATATAAATTGTAAAAAAATATTAGATTATATAAAAACATTCTTATTAGTTAATAAAAACATTTTAAATTATATTCATTAGTGGGAGAAAAGTATGATTTCGATAAAATTGATATTAAAATGACATCTGACAGGGATAATAAATTATGGTAGGTATCAGATTTGGCAGAAATATTTTTATAAAATAATGTTCCGATTTTACGAATTGAATATTTATCTATTCGAACAATATTTATTTATATCGAAGTAGACAAAAACCTGTTTATCTAAAAGATTATATAACTTAAAATATGTAAAAATAAATTAAATATCAAATTATTCGAATATTATTTAAATAAAATAAAAACTTTATATCCCATTTTTTACCATTAGAAAAATTATAATGCTACGAATATCGAATGCATTTTTGTATTACATGGGAAAAATTTCACGAATAAATTATTTTTTCTCCAAGTGTTTTTATTTTAGATAAAAAAAATCTTCAAATGATAAATGGGTAATTCCATGACAAACCAGTATTTAAACGACCATTTTTAAAATGAATGAAACTTGGCATAAAGGATAAGATTTTATAATTTATATAAGAAAATTTAATGCTCTAGCTCAAATAAATTATGGGCCTTCAAAGTTCGATGAGAGCCTTTTCATCTTTTAACAAATTTTTAATCATTTTGTAGCCCTTAAAATTCTCTTTAGAAATGCAAAAATTATTTTAAAAATATCTTCAATGTTGTATTTCCGGTAAAAAAAGTAAATATTTTGAAAAGTGCCTCATTTAAAATGATGAACTCATGAAAGGTGTTTATTACCAATAAATTTTTATATTTAAGTAAAAATATTAATAGAGAAAAAAGGAATTTAAATGTTATTTAGTTTTTTATAATTTTAGGAATAGAAAAATCAATTATAAAGGGCGTTTGAAACGATGAAACTCAATAAAAGTATAAAGTATTAATAGAGAAAATAAGAATTAAAATTTTATTTAGTTTTTATAATTTTAGAAATAAAAAAGGCAATTATATAGGGTGCTATCTATAAAGATAATTGTAATATATTTTCTTATTGTAGTATAAAAATAAATAGTTTTAAAATATTTCTAGTGTATATAATAATTTCATAGAAATATTAATGGTTATTTATAATATAAAATGTATATTATAATATAAATATTATAATATAAAATGTATATTATAAATAACGCCCTCAAAAATTGCTTTTTTATTTCTAAAATTAAAAAAACATAAAATATAATTTCTTATTTTCTCCACTAATACTTTTTACTTCAATATTTAAATATATTGTTAATAAACATATTTGATGAGTTTCATCGTTTCAAACGCCTTTATAATTGATTTTTCTATACCTAAAATTATTAAAAACTAAATAAAATTTAAATTATTCTCCATTAATATTTTTACTTATATATATAAATTTATTGGTAATAAATAAACACATTTCATGAGTTTCGTCATTTTAAATTGGGCATTTTTCAAAATATTTTTTTGTTTTACACTGAAGATTTAAAATAATTTTTGCATTTTCTTAAGGAGAATTTTAAGGGCTATAAAATGATTAAGAATTCATTATAAGAGAAAAAGGCTCTCATTGAACTTTGAAGGCCCATAACTCGTATATTTCTAGGGCATTAAAATTTTGATTAAAATATACATCTATTAAACCTTCATGCCAAGTTTCGTCCACTTTGAAAATAATTGTCTGAAAATAACGTTATTTTTGTCGATTTGTCATGAAATTACCCATATCTGAATATGAGAAATTTTTTACAATAATTTTGTTTTATTTCTCAACTTTAAATCATTTTTTGTGCACCATCTATAAATCACTTCTTTAAATTTTCATCGCCCGATTTTTGTAAATTTAATTTATATCTGACAAATGGTTAGTATAATTAATGTAAAGCATTAAAATTACTTTGATGATCTTTGTACATTTTTTCTATTTTTTAATATGGGATTCGTATAATAACTCAACTCAGGGAAATTTTTAAAAGGATGGAATATATTTAAAATTAAATATATGTAGGACTAAAAATTAGAGAGATATGGATTATGGTTAATTAAAAGTTTGAGGGTAATCATTTTTATTAATAACTTTTTAAATCTGGCAAGTCATGTGATTGAAAATAAATCCCTTGAGTGGACCATAATCGGGATTCTATTAATATATTTTTATTTTTGAGAGTGGTAGTGCTGGTCCCATAATTTTATTTCGCCACCTGTTTTTATCTAAAAAAATGGTCCTTTTAAATAGTCTACTACACCTATAGCAAGGTCTATATCATTTTCAAAAACTAGTTATACAGATAGATTCATAAAAAGATTAATTAACCCAAAAAACTTTTCTTTTGGCAAGGCTAAGGCAGTTATTCATTTTAAATATCTTAGTTTTATCTATTTCATCAAATAATATCATTCCTAATCGTAATCATTAACATTTTCTCTCCTTTACGTGCTTCCAGCTCTTTATCTTTCTCTTTTTATTTTTTTTTAAAATTCCAGAAAGAATGCCCTAGCAATTAATTCAGCAGAAGTTTTGAAAATAAACACATATCTAGACATCGCTTAAGTAATTTTTATCCCACTTGTCACCAATACTCCTGGTATTTTGGTAGGAAATTCTTAAATTTCCTTATTACGGGGAAAAATAAGTTGCGATCGTAATGAAAATTTAATTTTTATTTATTTTTGTTAAAATTTATATACAAATATATGTGCTATATTTTTATAATCGTTAATTGTTTTTTATATGAACTTGGTTACTATTTTTCCAATTATTAATTTTTTTAGCGCGCTCCTTTTTTGAAACTTTTTAAAAATATAATGAATTAACTATAAATATGAAAATTTAAACATTAAATAATAATAATTTTTATTATTTAATTTTGAAATTGAAATTTATATTTTCAATTTCTAATATAAACCTCATCTGGTGTAAATTATAAAATGTATATTAATGAAATGAAAGGTACCCCAGAAGAAAATGTTCTTGATAACAATAATGCACATTTTCCATTTCGAAATTTGTTAATGTAAAAACAAAAGGAGGCTACAAATTTATTTGTTTAAAATGTAAAAAAAAAATATATCCTCAAATAAATCTAGTAACTATAACTTCAAAAAACACTTAAAGGTAATTGTTACTTTTAAATTCTAATAGTATTTATTTATAAGAATGTTCATGCCAAGAGTTTTAAATAAGAAAAACATCGTAATAATTTAAGTATAGGGGAGACTACGTCCAAAAAGACTTCAATTCAAGTTAAATTGATTAATAATATTGCACATGCCAATATTTCTCAGATAATGGCTGATAAAGTCATTGTCGATTTTACAATTTTATATAACTCAGCCAATATCCATGGTTGATAATCCATCATTCATCATGATGATTTCTCTACCCCTGGTAAAACAATTTTATGTCACCAGACACTAATGATTAAGATAGCAGATAACTTTGAAGTGATGAAAGATGCTCTAATAGAAGAGTTATCGAGATATCCTATATATGTACCACAGCAGTGGACACATAACAGAAGGTAAAAACTTATTTATATTTATAAATTGATCTGATGTTAATATTTTTAGAGCTTATTTGGGAATCACATGCCATTGACTAGACCCTAAGACTTTAAAAAAAGATCTCTAGCATTAGCCCTCGAAGGATAATAGGATGTCAGACATACGATGTACTTGCAAATAAAATTTAAGATTCATCCCAATTTTAAACTAAACTGGCCATATCCGATAATGCTAAAGATCAACGTGTTAGGCTCATGGTAAAGCTTAATAGTTTCATATCAAACAAAGATGCCCTAGTTACAACATAAACGACTTTCACTGATAATTTTTTGAAATAAAGGATACTAATAGAATAGAAAATTCTCTAGACGAGATTTTTAATTCTAAAGCTTCAAATGTGTATTTTTGATAATTTTTCTTATATTAAAAATATGTATATAAAATTAAATACTGCCTTGCCCTCAAGTGCTAGTGTTGAGAGATTATTTAGTTAGGCAAAACTTATACTTTCTGATCGTCGCTCTATACTTGGATATGTTAGTATAGAAATGATTTTATAAAAAATGAATATTACCATAAATAGTTATTTTACTTTTATTACATTTTTACATAATTTTTTTATAATCAAAACTAACTATATTTAAATATTTTTAAATGTTGATACTATACAATTACATTATAAGCAAAAAATAAAACAAATTTATTTCTAAATTTTTTATCAAATAGTAGCCAAAGCTACATTTAAAAAATAGTAGCTAATAGTGTGCTACTTTTAAAAGTAGGGTTTAACAACTCTGGTTTTAAATTTGCTTTAATAATAAACTCAATGAATATAAAAAAATTATATACTTTTCTTCTATTAATTTATATTTATATTGCATTATCAACGTTTTCTTTAAATGTGAAATTTATTCATCCTTCAATATAATATAACATTAGATAATATCTAACTCATTTTAGTAAGGGAATAATTTATCACAAATTATCAACAAGTCTTTTTATATTATATGATCAGTCCATTATTTTGACCTGCCCACCCTTTTCATAAAATATTAGGTCGACCAAACTTATAAAAAGCTTGTTGGGCCTCCAAAAAAATTTTCATTATATTTTGATAGTGCCGCTAAATTTTTCTGGCCAGTATCACAACGATATTTATGACAAATGCATTATCGATTATATAATATCGCTAAAGAATAATTTTTCTTTTTTACACAGAATATGTCAAAATATGCATTTTTATAATTTTTCCTATCATGTTTATTTGGGGCAATCATAATTTATATGATCGATTTTCTATAACCAACCTATCAATTCATATTAGGGTGTGAGCGTATCTCATATCTATATAAATAACTTGGCTATTTAAGTTTATTTACTTAGTAAGTAAAACATAGTTAAGATTTTAACAGCATTGCTATATATAAATTTGAAAAGTGGCAAAATGTTATAATAGTACTTTTTAAAAAAAAGAATAAACAGTACAGTGTCCTGAATTGGCATCTTTTAGTTGTTTCAGTGATGAATGATGACTAATTTTGTGTATTTCTTTGACTACATTTTTTTAGTTCAATTTCTACATCATCATCTTTAAAAAAAAATATTTCTTCAAATTCATTTTCAGTATTATGAACAATGCTCATTTTTATAAAATAGTAAAAATATATATTACTTTATTCCTTTCTAATTTGAATCACAAAAATATTTAAGTAATAAATTATGAATTTTACATTTATCAGACCTGCAGAGGTACTATTTGCATGGCCTGGCAGAATTTTAAATTTTTAGGCCTGGCCCAGATATTTTGTTTTTAAAAAAAATTTCAACCAGGCCTGTATTTTTTTATATTACATTTATTCTTAATTTTTATTTTAAATATATGGTCTGGCCCAGTATTTTAAAAAAAAAATTTTTTAGGCCTGGTCTTGGTATATTTAAAAAAATTAAAATACTGCCTATAGCCAGGCTTAGGGCCAGGCCTGTAGGTCTCTGACATTTATAATATAATTTAAAAAACTAAATATCTATATTCACTTCAAATTGTAATAAATTCAAGATATTTTTTAATTTTTACAACTCATATATATTCTAAATAAAAATAAGTATTTGTATTTAAAATACATATAAGTATTATGATACTTCCCAACCCTGCTTAAGGGCAATATTAAGAAAATTAACTAAACTTTCAGAAATATTAAAAATTATCATAACTTAATATCACAAAATAAGCAAACTAAATATAATTTTATATAATGTTTAAAATAAAATGTAACTTTGTGATAAAATTTTCATTTACTCATTATATTCTTTAACTGCACTTTTAATTTCATCAATTAAATTTTCTAATCCAGTTCCATTAACTGAAGATATTTGAGCTGTTGAAATAACACTGTAAAATTCATCAAGTACTAAGGAAAGAGATCTCATTAAATTTGATGAATATGAGGTATCATCTTCAATTGCATTTTGAAAAACTTCAAAATCTCTCATCCATTCAATTGCAAATTTAGGTTCAGCTTAAAAAAAAGGTTTATTCAAATAGTTATGATAAAATAATACCAAGATCTATTTTATTTAGTGCTAAAATAAATGGTAATTTCATTTTATATAAGATGCTACATGCATAAATCATATTTGACATAAAAGTAATAGGACTTTGAATAGCAGGAGTGTCAACAATATATATTATAATTGTAGGAAATGTGGATGCTAATGTTTCAGAAATAATTGATCCAGAAGCTGACCAATTGAAAACTTCAATTTGCCCTGGTGTATCAAATATAACATACCTACAATACAATTACACTTATAGATAAAAAAAAATAAGTTACTTATTTTGTCCCTTTTTTGTAGCTATTATATCAACAACCTGATTAAATTTGGTAACAAATAGATTCAAACATGTCATAATACCACCATTGGGTCCCAGATTATATTTATGCATAACTTCTTTGTATTTTATAATATCTCTGATATCGATATTGCATTTATATGGCGTATTATACACAGCAGGATCAAGATTTACGATATATGGAGGGCTTTGATTATTGTTTAAAAATGTTGCCAAACTCTTAAATAAAATTCAATTCATTATTAATCATTGTATTTACATTAACAAATGTTGTCTTTCCAGATCCAGCCATACCAAGTATAATTAAACATATGGGTAAATCGGTGTCTGAAATTTTACTTGATATACCTATATAATTTTCAGATGGAGTTGTCTCCGATAGTGCAGTTATTTTTTCTTCAAGTTCCATAGAATTCGGTACGAAACAGCGAAAATCAGAATAGCGAAAAATAAAAAAATGTTCTCATAATGTATTACTCCACTAAAAAGTCATAAATAAATATATTATAGTATATTAATAAATATGTTAATTTTTTCCAAATAAATTAAGTTATTAACATGGTATTTATATATTGTCAATTTATAAATACTAATTTTTTGTATATTACATTAATATATATAGCCATTATATACACTCTATCTTCTTTAAATATTATCAATAAAATAGTAATGTATTTTTAATTAAATATAATTTTTATATTAATTTTTTGTATATTACATTAATATATATGGCCGTTATATAAACTTTATCTTCTTTAAATATTATCAATAAAATACTAATATTTTATTTATTTAGGTAGTGTATTTTTAATTAAATATAATGTTTAATATTAATTTATAAAATATATTATAAAAATGATTTATACAAAATAACTTATAGAGCAATAAATATGTTATTATTTTTTTACACTTGTTATTGCCTAATATAATATGAATCATTTTTAAATCCTAAACATGGTATTTATATATTTCCAATTTATAAATAATGATTTTTTGTAAATTTAATTTAGAAGCATGGTAAACAATATCTTTCTTTCTTATAAATATTCATTCATAGTAAATGAAGGGTTTTTTTTTTAAATTATTAATATTGTAAATAATAACTTTTACATTCACTTATTTGATAAGTGTCCCTTTCAAATTAAGCCAGTGGCGTCGATGGGGGGAAAGGCGCGCAGGGGCTCAAGCCCCTTGAAAAATTTGAATAGCCCCCTGAAGAAATTTTTTTTTAATGACTCCTTAATACCCCCTTGAACTAAAAATAATTTTTTTTAATGCTCCCTGAACGATTTCTTTTATAATTCTATTGAGTAATATATAGATTTAATTTTTTTATTTAAAAATTAATAAGGCTATCTAAATTTTTATTAAATGATTACTATTTTAATTATTAGATTAGATTAATACATATAAATTATATTTTCACTATGCCAACTTGTGATCAAATTCTGTGTTAAAAAGAATATCAATATCCCTTACTAAATATTAATTTGGCATTAACAGTAGAAGCTTAATTGATTTTTATTATTTAAATTATTATATAACCCTAATTAAATAAATATAATCATTTATTAATGAAAATTAACAACATTAATATTGTAATTAGCCTAGTTTAACATCCCTAATCAACTAAATTATTTATTTTTAAATTTAATTATCATTTCTCTTTCTAAAATTATTTTCAAGGTCAAAATTCAAATAAGTATAAGAGATTTATTTATAAAAAGTAAGTAGACATATATTTTATAATCCTCTATTATATATAATTATTTATAAAATATTAGGTAAAATGCCACTTTTGTAGACGTATTTGACAGTTATAATATATATTACAGTTAATATTTTTAAAACTTTACTAATAAATGCTTTTGATAATAAATATAAGTAACAATTTGCTCAACATTTAACGCCATCTATTTATTTATAAATAATTTTAAAAAAAACATTTTATTAATCATTCTGCGATAAATGTAATAATTTGATATCTTTTCTTCTCTTTTTTTACGTGATTTTAAGAAAGCTATTTTTCTCTTTTTCGAAAAACAGTTTTGAGTTAAATTTTTAATACAAATATATTTTTGATATTATTACATATTTTAAGATATAATATACCAAGTAGAGATGGTGCGACAATAATATATAAAATTTTAATTTCTTTAATGATATCACTCTGGTTATTTTTTATAGTTACAAAATGTTTCATTTCTAATATGGCATCCATGCAGTGTAAATAACTCAAGGTTTCAATATATTTGCATAATTTCTTCTAAAGATTTATAGTGTCTTTGTTTCATCAATTTATCTAAACATAATAAATTCTGATATGGATTACCATCATGGGTGTCATGGCTATGACTGTAAATTAACCAGCATCTATTATTTGTGTGGCTATGTAATTTAAGATTATTACTACAGCTGCTGAGAGCATATGATTGCATATTTTAGATAAGCAATAATGGTCAACTGTGTAGTTGTTTATATATCATAAAAAATGTAAGATAATCTTTTAGAAATTTAATATCTCACAATAAATTTCTCGATTATTTATCTAGCTTACATCATGTAAGAGGAAGCTCTAACTCCCATATTGTTTTATGATTTGGATTGGTCGTTTATATTCTCTTCTTCGAGAATTGTTGATTTGGTAAAGCCTATAAATTTCTTCTTATTAGTCCATTCTATAAAAGAGTGTCTACTGTAATAAATAGATTTTGTATTATAAAAATATTATTTTTAGATATGTTTAATTATATATGCTAGTTTATTTTGTATGCAAAATATAATAAATGACAAAATATGAATTTCAGAATAATTGTTTAGAGTTAGCAAATTTTAAAAAAGTACAATGTATTAATATAAAACCTGGTAAATGCGGGCCGAAGGCCTGCAAATTGGAGTTGAGCCCCCTGAGATTGTAAAGGCTAGCGACGCCTTGAATTAAGCTTTAGATTTTTTATATTTAGTGTTAAAGACTTCTTTATATATTAATAAATGAATTATTTTAAGTATTTATACATTGCATAGATAGGTTGATCATTTATATTTGCAGAATAATATATAATATTATAATAACACAATCATCAATATGCATTCATATAATATATTAACACCGAATAGACATATTTCATATCTATATTGCATATTAAATATATATAAAAACTATATTGATGTAAATTAATTAGAGCATTTCTAAATCTATTGGAAAATCACCATCATCTAATATAGATTTATTATCATTTGCAAGCTGAATTGAATTTGCATCTAAAAAATTAAATTTAATATTATAATAATAAATAAAGTAAAATATGGCTATATACTTTCAATGGTAGTGAGCAGAGCAAAGCCTTTGCATCTTTTTCTACTACATTATAGGTTGCATGGATTAAATTAGGGTTCTAAAATCATTGAACATACTAAAGACAATTGGTAAAAAATTTATACTTTCAAGAGGAAAGGATTGATTATCTCTTATGAGAGGAATGAATTGAATTTGCCTTTAAATTATTAAATTTATTTACTGTATAAAATTAAATTTATGTACCTTGATTTAATTTGCAAGTTATATCATGTTTCATATTTATGATAAATTTGTAATCAGCCATTAATTTTACTCGGCCTCCACACCTTTTTCCTAAGGTAAAATAAGTTGCATTCTTACCCTTCTTATAGTAGATATATTCAGCCTTTATAGATTATGAAATTATTTCCTTTTTGATTCTAATTAATATTTTATTTACAAATAAAAGTTTATAAAAAGTTATTATACTTGAATATCTAATTCTCTACGTCTAATAATTGTTTTTAAATTTTCAGAGACTGTTGGGATTTTCATTGTAAAACTAATTATATACTTTTCTCATATCAAAAATTTTCGCCATACTGGGAACATTTTTGGGAACATTTTTAAAAATGTTCCCTGATTTTTGCTGTTTCGGTCTTCGCTATATTGTGCCCAGGCCGTTCCATAAACTTTAATTTTATATAGGTTTTCTAACTAAAACAGAAAATCGAGGCTCTGTCAGATTTAATCGTCATATAGGACAGGTCAAATGACAGATTATAAATATTTCATACAATTTTAATGATATTTATGTTCTCTATTTTAGATGCTATATAATTAAGAAAAAGCAAAAATATTTATAAAGATTATATAATTTAATAAAACATTGATTTTTATTATATCGCTACGTTGCACATAGGCTTAGCCAGAATTTTTTTAGAGAGAAGGGAATTAGGTTAGTCTCCACATTTACTGGAAATCTTTAGGTCTACATAATTCAGCCTTTGGCTATCTTGCATTACTTAATGTGCTGGATTTTCACTTTTCGAATGTTTATTTTGAATTTTGAATTGTAGTTAATATTTTAAGATATTATTGGTTTTACTTATTTTTTTTTCAAATTACACTTCGCTATCAGATATGAAAGTAAATTGGGCTGAACAAATGCATAAGTTTTAGTAATTTTCGCCAATTTATTGTTTTCTTTTATTTTGATGTAACTCACTTCAGATTAATTTTTGACATTCCATTCGAAGAATACGACTTATCAATTAATAAGGCACTAAATAGTTTTAAAAAATGATTTCTTTAATTTAGATTTTGGCAAGGTGCCAAAACCTTTCTATTTTAATTATAACTCACGAAGTGTTAATTTAGCGGTATGCGGTTTGAAGATCCTGGAGGATCAATTAACGGGCTTAGAATTTCAGAATTTGATTATTACTTCCTTCAAGCAGTTTTAAGAATATTCAGGGGATCACTAGCCTTACCATCTCAGGGTGCTCGAATGAATAAATTTTTTTAGGGGGAGTCCTTAATACAAAATATAAACGACTAATCAAAATCATAAGACTATATGGGTTAATGATAGATACTGCCAGTAGCGTAGCCATGATTGATCCATTGAGGGGAAAGGAGGGGTTAAAAATTTATTTAAAAAATTTGTCAATATTTTGTGCTTTATTAGTGTCTAACCGCTATAGTAACCAGCATACATGGAAAAAAACATTAGTACAAATTTATGATTTATAAGCGTCTGAAAGCATTTTTCTAAAAATTTTATCAATGTTTAGTCAATTATAAATTAATTCAATTCATTTGGTGTAGAAAGAAAAATAAAAGCGCCCCCAAAACTTCCCATTTTTTATGATCACATAATGATACAACATGATTCTCTAATAATTGGTTTGCCCAGGCTTTCCCAGTTTCCGTTATTACGGAGATAACCTATTTTTTTGTATATTTAACTAGGAGTTAACCCGTAGACTAATTGGTAAATTGGTTATTTCCCCTTCATGTGATGATAAATCAATTAAAAATTTAACTATCTCCAAGGTGGAAAAAAAATACAAAATTATAATGGGTTGGACTGGACTTGGAACCTTAAAATTAATATTGGCTTGCACCTGACTTAAGAATATATTTTACATATTATTAAGGATTGAGCTAGGCTTGAAAAACTT